TTTTAAACCGGAACGTTTTGTTTTATCATTGTGGAAAATTCTTTTTACTAGTTTTTAAGCTAAGAAATGTAATGATTAACTGAGCTAAAAAGCTCGTCCCTGCTAAGGCTTGAAACACAGCTTTATCCTTTTGGGCCTGTTGGTTGGGTTGACCGACAAGCTTTTAAGGTACATATTTTTACTTGGCTAGTTGTTTTGTTTGATTAGTTAGACACAGACTAATGTTTAGTGCTAAACTCTGGCCTTGTAAAGATTGTAACTTTAAAATTTCAACTTCTTTTTTATATAGGGTGGCGCAAAAGTTCTTGAACTGTTTTTGGACGCAATCAAAGAATCGTCCGACTAATGCATATTTCTCAAAGCTACTGATGAATTCAGAAAATTAAAGTATTTCACTTTCTACTTCAGAAAATTCATTTTCGCAACAAAATTTAAACTTGAATTACTTGGGTAAAAATACTTGAATTTCCTGAATTTAATGTTATTTCGGATAAATATTCTTCTGGATCACTTCTAAAAAGGCCACCCAAAAACTGTCCGAGAACTTTTGCGGCCACCCTTTAGATCTTTCTTTTTTCCCTTCGAAGCAAGCCTTGTTTAAGCCTTTCTATGGAAACGATGGCACAAATCACTTGTGAAATCCGCTTCGTTCTTGCAAATTTCTTTTATAGCCTGCAAATGCTGATGCTTTTTAAACTTGAGAAATCGAAAAGATAGGCCAGGGAAATACATTGCGCTCAAAAAATGTAAAATTCCTTTTCTGGTGCACTCAACTCTTTTCATTCTCACGGCACCCAATGTTTCATATTTTTTCAATGCAAATTCTCAATGATATTATTATTCAACGTTGTCCTATCCCCTTGCAAATATTGAAACCTCAAAATTTCTACCTTCTCCGAACTAATCATTTCAATCTTTTTCTCACTAATTCTTTTTCCAAATAAGTGCTATCAGTGGCCGAAAACAAGATGTTCTTCTTCCCGCTCTCTTTTCCCCAAGATTTCCCTCCCGTTTTCCTTATCAATTCCCCCTCTTTCCCCCTTTTTTCATTTCCTTTTGTATGTATTGATCCGGCCCATCTGAGCCCTTCTCATCCTCTGGATCAACCAGCCGACTTTTTTTGCTGAACTTAAATTTGATCTGCTTTGGTAGTTGTTCTATTTGGAAGAATAATCTTATATGCTAATTTTGTAAAGAAAGATGTTAGAGCTAAAGTTTGCCAGCCTTGGAAGCCGTATTTCAAAGTAAGTGGGACTTAAAAACAGTTTTGAAGTTTACAATTTTGAGTTTATCCTTTGACTTTTGATATATAATTTCGATATTTTTGTAGGACTGATATTTACCCAGTTTCCTCACAGCTCTCCCCGCCTTTCAACACCTTTTGAAAATCCTATTTTTCAAACCTTTGGAAAAGTCATTTTTATATTTCTCCTTCGATCAATTCCGAAAATATTGGAATTCTACCAGCTTTTATAGCTGAAAAGTCAAAAAACGCCCCTTTTTGTGCTTCGTATTTACCATAAAGGTCACAAAGAATAGCAACGAAAAAAAATTTTTCCCAGATGAGTCAAGAATATAAAATTTTGGAAAAATTTGAAAATTCCTGAAATATTTCATTTGTAAAAGGCAAAATATAGTTTGACCTTGAAGCGGAGAGATATTTTTCGAGCCCATTTTTCAAGTTTCGCTTCTAATTTTTCGTTTACTAGTGCAATTTTAAACTTATTTTTTATACCTTACAAACTCGTATTTTGGATTGATCTAAATTCGTCACTTCTATTGGTTTTTTGATTTTTAAAAAATCTCATCTTTCCAGACAAAAACGTGGGATTTGATAAGGCTGATTCTGAATCTTTCTTTGTGGTTTTGAGCGTTGGCTGACAATGAGACTAAAGATGAAACTCGAATCATTTCTCATTACTGAAAAGTGTTTTTTTTTCAATTCTAACATGGCCGTCAATTAAATTTCTATTCTTTTACAACTAGCTGAATACATTGAATTTCAAATTTTTCAGTGTCACAAAAGTTTTAAAAACTTTGCTACCTAATTCATGAACTAGCTCGTAGATCTTCCATTTGACCATAAATTTCCAGTCATTCCAAAATTAGCACCTCTAAAATTACCGCCAATAAATCCCAAAATATATCCAATTATAGCTAAATTAGTGCCTGAACAGAGTCAAAAAACTCCCACATGTCCAAATCTAAAATCGAGAAAAAACCCAAAATGACGACAACCGCAGAAAAACCAAAAATTCCAGGGTGAATACCTGGGAAAATCCGGGAGAATTCGCCAGTTCAAGAAGTAAACTTCACGAAAAATCCCCAAAAATGGACCTCCGGGTCGAATTTCACGTGTTTTCCCCTCCCTCCCGTCGGCTTTTCTCGAGTTTTGTTGGTTTTTCTTTTTCCTTTTCTCTTTTTCATGACTCCACCTACATCAACCCCCAAATATATCCACTCTCTTGGAAAAGGCAACAAAAACCGCCCACACTTTAGGTTTTTTTGGGGGAAATTTTGACTTGCTAGTAGTTTATTTGTCCCTTTGGCTATTCTTATTCAATTTTCCAATTCACAAGTCAGCCAAGTTACGCTTAATCCGAGCAATTTTTTCTGCGAAAAGAGTTTAATTACGCGCTCGACGTTTTCTTTCCTGTTGAACAACTTGAAACTTTTGTTTTGGAAAGCTAACCCTTATTGACTCTCTACTGTTTGAAAAGTGAATCAAAGTATATATGTTTCACTGTCTCACTATCTCACTATTTCACTGTTCACTGTCTTGAATGTCTCCTTATTTTCTTTGCTGATCAATAATAGGTTGGTTCTTCGGTGTCGGTTCTCTTTAGCAATTAAGTATTTTTGAAAATCTCTTAACTTGTTTCCAAAATTTCTATGTAAATTTGAAGCTTTACTTTCAACGGAGTACCCAAAACCTTTTCTTTGTTTTTTTCTTTTTACTCCGACTGTCAATTGAAATTAGCGTCTAATGGTGAAAAGCGGTAGTTCCTGAAATTTTCCCGGGCAAATGTTTTTTTGAGAAAAAGCGCCAGATCTCTGCTTTACAAAGGAAATGATAACTAAACATTTTTATTGGACTTTTTTGGATCATTGTGCTTATCTCTATGCATTTTGCGTTCATGAACTCTTGCAAATTTAAAAGTTTCAACCTAAACGCCTTCACTTAATGGGAAATATTAGCAGTGCTGGTAGATACTGGGCGAATTTTCAAAAATTTTAACTCACCCAAAACGACATAGCTCTAAATGAAGCAATTGCTAACACTTTTATAATGACTTATTATCGTTTCTTTGAGATTTTTTTTGGACTTAAAAGGTTCAAAGGGGCAAGTTTCAACTTGAACATCTTCACTCATAAAAGAAAATTAATAATTGACATGCGAGAAATCATGAAATCTCTAATGATTCAAGTTGCTATGAACTGTAAAAAATCTAGTGCGAAGAATTAATTTCTTAACACATTTGCGACGGCAGCATTTTTGGTTTACAGTCGTTAACTGTTTTACTGATAATTTGGTGTAAATTCAAAGATAATCCAAACTATTCTAGTCATTCAATAGCCCTGAATCTCCTCTTGAAAACTAGTACAAAGTTATGGAGAACTTTCTGCGAAACCAATAACAAAAGTCCTTAAAAACTTAACACCAAAAATAATCGTCATTAGTACGTTCCACCGATGGGCCTGATCGTCGTGAGTATGTTAAAAAATTAATTATTAGCTAAAGTTAACCTTTCATATTTTGTGAAACTGCTTTACTGTAGGTTTTCTGTTTTCATTCATGTACTTCTGACTAACTGAAGCTTCTATTTTTTTTTATTAAAAATATTCACAATTTAAAAATTAGCCTCATAATTCCTGCAAACTTTGATAAAATCGCAAGCCCTCGCGAAAATTCCATGCATTCCGTGGATCTTTTCCCCAATAAACAAGGCACTGATTTGCTCCCGTATTCCCTCAGAAAACACGAGTTTCTTTTTAGAGCAAAAGGCTGAATGGCCAGTTTACGAGTCACTTGCTTTCCCCCCAAATTTCCCCTTTTTCTCCAAAATTCCCTTATCTCCTATCGAATGGAAAATTTGCTCTTTTACCCCAAAAGAAAAACTTTTATCTCCATTCTCAAAAGCCCATTTTTTCAGCTTTTCCCACCAAGCTTCTGTTCGATTGACGTGATTTTTACTGATTTCATGATTTTTACGAGCTTTTGCAAGTAAAATTTACAATTCTCAGGCATTCATTTGGATTTTAGAGATTTTATGAACGGAGTGCTTTGTGATTGAGACACTCTCAGCCTATTTTAAAGGAATTTTGTTGAAAATTTTTTTTTTTTTGAAGTTAGTAAACTAGGTTATTCCACCATATCTTTGATACATTTGCTGACCAGGAAACTGTTTTGTACGGTAGGAATCGTCTTTGAAGCGGATCCAAAAAATCTTCCATCGAATTCTTGGAACTCATGTTCTTGACATTTTCTTTGAAACATTCTTTTTTAATTGTTGATTTTGACTATCTAGAACTCACGGAATTTACCGTTTTGGTTAAATTGGGATAAAGGATCATTAAAAATAATCTAAATAGTTATTTTTGCTTTAATTTGGATGCAATGTAGTTTTTCTAACATTGTAAAACCTTTGATTGCTAAAATGTTCTCCTATTACAAATTGTCTTACGTGAAACATTCATTTTTCAGCAAATGCCCACACTCTTTTTTAAAGCAAATCTTCATTACGTACTTGTTTTATTTTAATTTCCCTTTATCATTTTGTTTTCATTCATGTTTTCCATTCACATTCCATTTCCTCATTTACCTGTTCAATTCTCCATTTCCAGAGCCTCATCTTCTACCAACATCCGGCTCTCTCATTTCACATCAATTTCTCCCAACCAATTCTCCATCAATTCATCAATATTTCTTTTCTGAATGAGAGGGATTGGTGGTTGATCTTCTTTTCCGTTTTTTTTACTTTCGTTAAACGGGCAACGGAATGGCCAAGGAATACAAATCGTCCATTCCCGCGATTCTTCTCCAAGGGACACTCTTCGATAAATATGATGATGTAAGTGGGAAAGGGAAATGAGTATAAATGGTATTAAATAGTCAAACAAAAGGCTTTGCTATTTGGCTATACCCCGCCACTTTCTCATTTTGGTTTTAAGCCATAACAAGTAGAAAAACTCTAAAGTACGATCTGTTTACCGGTAAGCAAAGTAAAGCAAAGGGAAACTGTCGTGAAAATGCAAAAAGAATAACAAGTTAATAAGGCAAACACTGTATATTAAATACATAAAGTTGTGCTGCAAACTTAAATTCATTTAAAAGATCAGAAATTTGTTTTAGGAAAGTACGTGTCTCGAGTTGAACGCCCTAGTGAAGGTGGATGAATATGATGAATATGGTTTCTATCTTTATTGGATGGTCGACGGGAAAGATGCTTTTGTGCTCGATTTGGCTCAGGTTTGTGCTTAAACCAGAAATCTAACTATTTTACTTACAAATTGACATTCTATTAGGTTTTCGGGTTTTGAATGCAAATTTTTTTGAAAAAATATACAAAATATACAAGAAAACAAAGCAAGAGCAGCAGGAGAATATTAAAGTTAGTACGGTTTGTACCATTAGAAAGGTAAATCTGTGTTCTACATTGAGCTTTTTGGCGATTTTGAAAAGCTTCTGTTTTGGGGATTTTTCGGGGGTGCAAAGACAGGTAGTCAGCATCGCCAAAAATCGAAACTCGTTGACAACTACCTATTTTGTGAAATTGATTTGGAATGCTTTTTTACTCAAACTTTTGGCCAATGCTTTTTGCATATGTCAGCAAATTTTCAGCCAAATCCGTTCAGCCGTTTTTTCAGAATGTTTGTTTGAAGAAAGCATTAAAATAAAGGTATTGCTCATTTGGGAGACTTTTCGAACAAATTTGAAACATTTGGAAAAAAGGATGGGACGGATTTCACTGAAAATTTGACTGAAAATGTAGAAATGCTTGGTCTTTCATTTGAGTCAAAAATGAATGCTAACTTTCTATCGAAAAAGTTATCAGCTAAACGATTTTTAACAATTTTGACTACCTATCTTTGATCCCTCGAAAAATCCCCAAAACAGAAGCTTTTCAAAATCGCCAAAAAGCTCAATGTAGAACACAGATTTACCTTTCTAATGATACAAACCGGAATAATTTTAATAACTTCGTTCTCTTGGAAAAAATAGATTCAAATTTAAGGGGCTGATAGGTTGAGAGATTCAGTTAATCAATAGAGCACAGCTACCATTAGGATTCAAAATTCGAAGCACAAGGAGCTGGCAAATTAGTATTTTCCGAGTTTTACCAAACTTAAAAGTATTCAGTTAATATTGCAAATTGACTATTTTGATAAAAATACGAACAATAAGAAGAATGAGAACATCAAGAACCCATCTAATCAAGCGCTAGCCAATTACTCCAGATGGCACTCTGGAGCACTGATGAACTTGTTTCTTTCTTATTGTTAGAACAGCGATGGATTGAATCTGTCAACTGAATCTTTATTCACAAACAAAAAGATATTCAGGTGTGGGAAGCCCGACCGGCCGGTCAACCAAAAGATGGCCGCGTTGCTTTCGAGTTGGATCAAAGGGGTCCGCCAAAGGAAACTCTTGAGGATCGAACCGTTTGGATCACCTATGGACAGGTGGAAAGTCATATTTGTAATAAAATATATCGTCAAAAAAAGAGAAATGATAAAGGTTCACTTCTATCTCACAGTCAGGAAAAATGAATTCATAAAAGCTTGTTTCGGGAGTGGGACAAATGCGACCTTTTTTTGCGCACCCGGACATTTGGGCACCTTTTTTTCCGCACTTAGTCCATTGGCGCACCTTTTTTCGCGTTTTAAAAAACTCTAAAAGCTAATATTAACCAATTTCTATTCCAAAAGTTGTTTTTCTAGGTAATTTTAGGGCGTAGAATCTAAATTTTGGCATATCAGAGCTTGTGGAAGCGAACGGACAGAGTTATACAAAGAGAAAAATCAGCAATTTTCTGTAGTTTGACCTAGCCGTTTTGTCTTTCAAATTGGTTCCACACGCTCTGTTATGTCAAAATTTGAATTCGACACCCTCAAATTACCTAGAAAACAACTTTTGGAATAGAAATTGAATAATATTAGCTCTTAGAGCTTTTTTAAAACGCGAAAAAAGGTGCGCTAATGGGCTAAGTGCGGAAAAAAGGTCGCATTTGTCCCGCTCCCCTTGTTTCAAGTTGAACATGATGACCCTATGAAATAATTTTAATCATTTTCTAATAATTCCCTAATAATTTTCTCTTTCCAATAGTAAAGTATTATCCCTACTGTAATCAAAATTTGTAACTTAGGTACTTGAAAGTACAGGTTCCAATTTGTTCGCAAATTTTTATTTGTCTAGGATCTCGTAAACGCGCAATCGATCTACCTGGTCGCACAAGATGTCGACACGGCAAAGGTTTTTTCAAGTTATCCAGCTTCTTATGTTTATGATGTTAATTAATCGGAATATCACATTTTCAAAAAAATTCAGGATCAAAATCATTTCAGATTTGGCGAACTGGTGTCAACGACATTTTGGCACGGCTGAAGATCAAGCACGCCTGCTCGACGACAAGCTTAAAGAAATAGTGAGTGATTCAAAGTGTACGGCTACAGTTAGATGATTAACTCCTGAGCCGATGCCTCACTGATATCTAAAATCAAAACCAAGTATAAAGCTAAAAATTTTTAGTATAAGCTTGGCTTGAAAAGATTTTAAGGCATTTTGAAAACAAAATAAATGGAAGAAACCATGGAGCTTGAAGAGCAATTAGTACTTGAATCTATTCATTTTGGGTTGCTTATTTAGAAACTTATCTTTTTCTAGCAATTCAATAAACCAAACTTTTCAGCTGGCGATTCCTTTGTCTTTCACTGAACGATCGCCGAAAAATCCCCATCAAGAACATCATTAGACTTTTCGCGTCGGGGAAACCCGAGAAAATGGTGCACAAATGTTTATGCGATTTGGGACTCGGCGGAGATAAGGTTTGACAGAAAAATTAGAAAAATTTTGAAATTAAGCTTTTTAAAACTATTTATCAAAGACGAATCAGAAATTAAACCTGTTCATTGTTGCCAGAAACTGACCAGGAAACCCTTTGAAGTTACATTTCAGGAGCGATCTGATTCCGAGGTGCAAACACCCCCTGGTTAAGGATATCCCCAAACTGCTTTCAAATTCTACTTATTTTAAGCCGTTTTCGAGATATAAGCCTTCAAAGTTTCGGCCAAATTCGTCAAACCGCAAGCTAGCCTACTTAAGGCGTTTGCACGGGCCAAATGGCCTAATGGCCAATCAGTAGCCTAGTGGATAGTGTGCTAGCACTCCGGACTTTTTGTCCCTGGTTCGGATCCACTGTCGATCAGACTCACGAGCAACATGGTTCTCTGTCACGACTGTAGGCTTAAGTATGCTAGCTTGTTGTTGGCCGAAACTTTAAAGGCTTTTATCTCGAAAACGGCTTAGGATAAGTAGAATTAAGTAGAAGCACTTTCGGGATGTCCTTAAGCAGTCTTAGGGAGTGTTCGCACCTCGGATCAGATTGCTCCTGAAATGTAACTTCAAGGAGTTCCCTGCTTAGAAACTCTAAACAGAAAACTTGTGCTTGTTTTTATTTTGAGCTGTTGTTGTATGGTGAATTTTGGTTGTTCCTGGCTACCGTAAACGCGGAAAATTGTTGTTAGTGAAAATTCAGCATTTCTACAGCGCGTCAAAACTTTAAAAACCATTGTTGTTTGGTGCAGAATGGACCTTGCGCATGTACTTTGTGCTTAAAAATGGAAACCTACCCCCTTCTGGTGGACTGAAATCTTTCATTTTCTCATGAAACAAAGCTATCTCTACAAAAAACACAGAGAATTCAGTGCACCAGACGGGGTGTGTTTCCATTTTTGAGCACAAAGTATATCAATGATGACTGTCGTGATTTCGTGGTCGTGTTTTTCAGTACATAATCCCGGTGCTCAAGAAAGGAGTTGGCGCCAAAATGCGAACCTTCTACAAATGTCGATCGGGGAGGAAAAGAAAGGTTTCACTTTTAGCAACTTCGAAGAGATTACATTGAATTTAATCCATGAGTCAATTTTCTTTGCTTTTAGAAATCGAAAGCGGTTCGTGCTTGTTTTGTCGTAATTTTTCCCTAAACCAAAAAAACACTTTCGGTTTCCAAAATTACTTTGCATGACCAGATTTGTTGTGGTGGACTGGCTTTGCTTTAGTTTTATCCGAAACGGAAAATTTTTAACACGATTCATCACAAGGGTTTATTCATTAACAAATCTCAAAAGATACTGTAAAATTTTAGACATTTGGCTGACTACAGTAACCGAAGCCCGTATGCTACGCTCCGGGAAAAGCTACGGCGGTGTCTCTGATCTTGTCGGTAAAGCGTCCATAGTTTTCCCGCGGAACTTAAATTTTTTCCAGAAAGTTTTCGGTAAAACTTTTCACCGGAATTTTCCGAGGAAAAGTCCACTCCACGTGAAAACTATGGACGTTTTAGCGAAAAGATCAAAGGTACCGCCGTAAAGTTCAAAGACGCCGCCGCGGAACTTTTCCCAGAGCGTAGCATACGCATAGCATAGGGGCTCGGAAAAAGCTAATATCTTTTCGATTTTACAATGAACTCTAAAGATATGCATTCTTACTATAGCCAGGCCAAAGGCTGAGAGTTTACTTTATCTTCAAACTTAATTTGGAATTTTTTTCTTATTTTCAGGAGCGAGAAGAGCTGGATGTCGAGCTGTTCACTTTTGAGAAATTCCTCCGACTGTACCACAAGATTTGCCCGAGAACCGATGTGCAAGAGTTGTTCGTGAAATTGTGAGTTTAAAAATATATTCACTAGCTAGTAGCTTCTATGTTATGTTCAATTTTAAAACCTTTAATCTTCGAAACCTATTTTTACCTAGAAGAGTCATTTCACAAAGAGTTTTATTCAATTTTTCGACCAAATCTGGTCAAATCAAACACAACTCTCGTTTTGTTCAGCACTTTAGTACCTTAATGAAAGGTTTATCTTAAAACTATCGAAAATACGCTCTTTTTATTGATTAATCAAGTTTCAAACAGTAATTTATCAAAAACATTACAAAAGAAATGCATTTTTTCATTCTTAAAGAAACTTATGCAAAAACTATAATTTGTTTAGTAATTTAGTGATTCTAATGCAAAAACATTATTCTGTTAAAAGGTTTAAAAATCGGACGCAACATATACATTTTGAACAGTAGCTAATAAATTTTCGATTATGCCGTTCTTACAATGACAAGTCAAGGATCACAGCTGAAGTTCCTTTTGCAGATCCGGTCAAAAGGAATATCTCACCCGTGATCGTCTCATCCATTTCCTCAACGATGAGCAACGAGACCCGCGTTTGAACGAGATTTTGTTCCCGTTTTTCGACAACGAGCGAGCACAGAACATGATTAGGAAATTTGAGACTGATGAAACGTATATCCTAAACGGTTTGCGATATTTAACCCTTCATTGATGCTAAACGTATGTATTGATCAAAATAGCAACAGAAAGACAGCTCCATTTAAAACTTTTAAAATGATGAGATCTTGTGACAAATGTTTATCACATTAGAATTTCATTTTCAGGCAAAATATCGGGCGAAGCTTTCCTTCGTTTTCTCCTTTCCGACGATAACGCGCCCGTGTTTTTGGATCGGATAGAGCAACATCAGGATATGGATCAACCATTATGCCATTATTTTATCAATAGGTAAGAATTATGGGTTCTTGTAAAGTTTACGACGTTTTTGAGGACTTTGTTCAGCATCAGCATCATGCTATATTTTTAGTTCACACAATACTTACTTAACGGGTCGACAATACGGTGGAAAATCCTCGGCGGAGATTTATAGACAGGTTCGTTTCTCAAGCTCGACCAATTCTCATTTTAATCTCAACTTGAGAGAATTCTTGACTTTTACAACAAAATAATTTATTTAAAAAACACATTACCATTTTACAACAATTCATTCGTTTAGGTGTTACTTTCGGGTTGCCGGTGCATCGAGTTGGACTGTTGGGATGGGACAGGCGAGAATAAAGTTTGTTTGAGAAATTTGTAAAGCGTAAATAAATTAGAGTAAATTTTGAAACAAAATTAAACTGTACGCTTTACTCAAACGATTTAACATAGCGCTTGGGCTAAACTAACTGCGGTTATGGCTCGCGTCTTTAGAGTTATTTGTTTGTATTAGGTTGGCCCATAAGTCTAGGTAGCAGTTTTTTTTAAAATTTATTCACAACCAAACAAGTAGTTTACTAGAAACGGTTTCCGTTATTTTGGATAACCTTCGCCCATTTTGTTAGAAGCTGATGTCCCGGTGGAAGATCTGGGGTAGTCTTTGAATAAAAAATCAATTAAAAAAATAGAAGAAACATTGGAGTCTGTTTTGAAAGAGGACTGATAAGCCGACTTTTTGGATGTAAACAGAACGGGGAAAGTCGGGCGCATAAACAATTATTTCGAAAGAACAAAGCGTTACCAAGACTTATGGGCCACTCTAATAGCTCTTAGTTTTGAAACTTACTTTTTAACGGCAAAACCATTTAAAAAATTCGAAAAAATACTTTTGCAAAAAGGATACAAGCATCAGGAACAAATAGTAGGCTCTTGACAATAGTAAACTAACATCACAATTATCGTTTTTGCTGAATCCAAATTTCCAGGGAGAGCCGATCATCACGCATGGAAAAGCAATGTGCACTGATGTTTTCTTTAAGGTAAATGGGTCAACGATTAAAAAAATGGAGAAAATTGGTAGAAGTTGAACAAAATTTAAATTAGAGTAAAAGTTCTTCAGCTGTTCAGAAAGTCTTTTAGTCCTTTTTCGTACTTCGACTAAAAAACAAATTCACCAATTAACCTATGATTTGCTCTAAATAAAAAGTGTTTATGGTTCAATTTCTCATCTTTTAAAGTCAATTTGGGCTCACGTTCAAGCAAATTCGAGAGTGGAGACGTGTTTTTCGTAAAAAAGCTATCAAAACCTCTATGAAGGCTAAATCAATTTCTCTGCAAATTTGGCTACATACCTAACTTTTTATGCTCTAAATAATTCGCCTTTCTAATGAAACTAAAAAAATGTTCAATTGGTGCATTTGTTGGTTGTATGAAAGTCTTTGAATAAAAAAACAATTAAAAAATCAATTTCTTTTCATACAAAAGTATGAAAAGAAACGAAAAGACTTTCTGGATAGCCTAATAGAAACGGTGAAAAACCATTAATCGTTAACAGAGCTTTGAAGTTGCTAAACTTGAAACAAGCAAATTCTGATGATAAATTCTTGAATTAATGAATAAAAATTAACCAAAAACCAATTTTTAAGCTAAGTTCAATCTTACCCCATTTCCAGGATGTGCTCCATCAAATCCGTGACACGGCTTTTATGCGATCGGATTTCCCGGTGATTCTCTCTTTTGAGAATCACTGCTCAAAGTCGAATCAACTTAAAATGGCCAAATATTGTATGGAAATCTTTGGCGATATGCTACTCACAAAAGCGTTCGACGATTTTGCGGTCAGTTTGCAATTTTTCAAAGTAGGACAAATTTTTGGAGGTACAGAAATAATTTGAGGGTGTTTTATACCTAGGACAAAATTCTAGATTCGTAACTTTCAACGTATATTTTTAGTTGGAACCGGCAGTGACTCTCCCATCGCCAAATCGATTAAAACGAAAGATTCTCATCAAAAATAAGCGCTTGAAACCCGAGATCGAGAAACATCAGTTGGAGCAATTCTTGAGGTGAAAATATTAAATTCTTTGGAAAAAGCTGATTGAAAAGTCGCTCTATTAGTATCGAGAATTTGCTCTTTATAAGTTAACCCCTTACAAAACTAAATTCTTTTTTGAAGTGTCCTTTTAACATTTGTTCTTATAATTGTACCTGTTAAACCTGAACGGCTCACTAAAAAAAACTTGTAATTCATTAAGTGCCGCTTGTTTTGAAAGCAGCCAATATTAAGAGTTATGTGAATGTGTGGTTATTCTACATGAATATCCTCAATCTGACAACCACTAATCAACTGTGAAGTCGAATAAGTTGAAACACGGTTTGCCTCATCTGTTGATAACTGCTTTTAAAACAAGCAGCCGAATCATTTGAAACTTGATCCATTTGGCTAGATGTAAGTGATTTTTGAATTGTTTGAAAACAGCAAAACTAAACAGAAGCAAACTTAATTTTCCAACGTTTGCGGAACTTTTTTGAACCGATTCTCTTCGGAAAAATCGGAACACAGCTTGAGCTTTGAGCTAAGCCAAAAAATAAAACATTGTGGAAAATAAGAATAATTACATATTTGCTGTATTTTCCGTCGCTGCTAGTTCAGTGGTAGAATATAGACTCGAAACTGATTTATTTGCACAAAGAGATCTTATAGAGAAAAGGGAAGAGATTTAGACACATAAAGCACAATATAAGCTAGAGATTATGCAGCCAAAGAAATATCAGAAATCCACCCTATAGATTTCTGTACAAACATAGACTTAATTTTCTGTTTCCTGGACTTTTTAAAACCGATTTTCTTTCAGAGAAGGCAAATTGGATGAGGATGAAGAGATCAATGAGACGCCCGATGTCGTCGGTGAAGACGCCGTTTCACCACGTTGGTTTTAAATTTTACACACAAAACTTAAAGCTCAAACTTTTAGATAAATCATAAAGTTAAAAGAAAAGAGGACTTTAAGCACTAACCCGGGACGAAAAATATATAAATTTCAAATTGCGCTCAGGCTTTCAGCAGATTCTTTTTTTGCTCGCTTTGATTTTTAAATTTAATTTATTTTTTGAATTTTTCGTGTCGACTGATCAACATGGTTTTTGGCTTGATTTTTTGCGATTTTCGGGTTCAACTAAACAAAATTCTTTTTGCAAAAAAAGCATGTTTCAAAAGATTTTTTCCAAGTTTCAAAGCAAAACCTTTTTTTAGGTGGGCTGTTTGTTTTTTAATGGAAATTCTCTCTCTTTTTGAAAGCACCAAGAGTTTTTTCCCTTCCCACTCACCTTTTTTCCGACACTCAATTAGACTGTATTCCTTTTGGCTGAAGTGTTTTCTAGAAGTTGCGATGGAAACCTTTTGCATTTATAGTTAAAAATCTAAAATAGGTAATTAGACGCAGTACGACTTTTTTTTACGGAGTACGGTAACTGGTAGTAGTGTCGCTCTTCCTGACGGGATACGGTAACCGCTGAGCCTCGGAGTACAGTACCACTTTTCCTCCGCGCACCTTTTAGAATCCACTTGCTGTCAACAAAGAATACACTCTTCACCCAATCGTTCGTGCAAGATCGATTTCTCTACAAATTCACCCCAAAAAATTTTCTACATCTATCAAAATTTCAATTTTCCCTTAGTCAAAGGTGAAGTTTGATCAAAAATCGAAAAAAGCAAAAGAATAATTGTCAAAAATGTCCCGTCTCAAAGCAAAGTCCCGAGTTTAGCTTTATCTTTGGTGGAATGGGGGATGAACTGAAAAATTCCTCTGCTCATTGAGTCTGGAAAAAAGTCCGAATTTGAAGTCAAAGATTTAGAAACTTGTTTTTATCACTTTTATCTTGAATCAGTTCATTTCCTTATTCGAGTAGCTAAAAAGTGACGCTTAGACCTGCTTTTACACAAAATCATCAAAAGTCATTTCAAAGTCTTCAGTGTTGATTGGGGCAAATCATTCGTAAGAACCAATTGCTAGGCAAATCAAAGTTTCAAACTTGTCTACCTTGTCCAACCGAGCAGCAAGTTTAGTTTAGGTGCCAATTTTACTGAAAATTTCACTGCTAAAGGCTAATCAAACCGAAATTTCATTTGTATTACAACTTTTTCAAAGTTTTATCACGTTTAACTGTAAGAACAAGCTTTATAACGGAATATTTTTGAACTTAAAAATTTTTACAAGATATCTTATCAAATGATTTGTCCCCAGTCCCCGAAAACAGCCCACACTAGAGTGATCCTCCCAAAAAACGACTGGAATTCCACAAATAGGGTGTACGGGCGATGACGACACATCGGACGACGACGATCCCTCTGTCTCATCATCGGCGAACAGCCGCTCAATCACCGCCCATCCGTCAATTCCACCGTTATCCCTCCATTCGTCAATGATGCGTCCGCCGAGTGGCTCGGTTCACGGGAAATCCCCGAGATTCTCATTGAGGGGAACGATTTCGAGGAAAACCCTCCCCTCAACCCCATCATTTCCATCGACTTCCACATCCTCCGGTGGACCGCCATTAGTTGGTGAGTAGTTGGGTGGAAGTGGGAAAAGAATTGTGATGGAGAATGGAATGGTTTTGAAAAGGCAAATCTGTAGAAATCTCTGTGAGTGCGTTTTTCTCAGTCCATTTTATTGTCCAAGATGAATTACTGCCACTGTAGTACTGTCAAAATACTGTAGAAACCCAAATGCGTCCCTCTCGTTTTCTAAAGCGTATCAAACTTTTTCAATTACCGTAATCTTGGCCAGTTTTTATGCCATCTATCTACTTTTGTTCTGCTTCTTGAGAAATCATGAAGGAGACGTCAATATAAAAAAAGATGGATTGGATAAAAACTTGAAGCAGGATTGGGAATTGGTATGTTTTGTTAGAAAACCATTAGTTGAGTGACAAACGAGAACACAGCGGAAACACACTCTACTTCTAGCAAATTAGTCTTTTCAAAACCGTTCCCTCGATCTAATTTCCCCATAAATGTCACGCAATAATACAAGTAGCTTCGAAAATTCCTATGTTCCAAATCAAATCGAGAAATGATTTGATTTTTGCATGATTTGCACCGGCAAGCCTTCTGTTTTTTGCGCATGTGCACGGTTTGAGAATGGTATGACAAAAAAGTTGGAATGCTTTTCTAATCGAAGCTTTAACAATCAAAACCAATTTTTAAGAAAATATAAAAGTTATGTTTCAAGTTTTATGGGTCTATCGGCAATATCAGCAATTTAACCATAGCTTGATACGTTAAGACGTTGAGAATTTGACAAACTTTTCAATAGCAAAGCAATAGTTGATCGTAAACACATGTCTGTGTACTTTGTGACAAAACATCCAAACGCAAACTTTCTGGCGCGCTCAACTCGTCGCTTTTCTTGGTATCGCAAGGAAAAGAAAGAATCGAGTGCGCCAGAAAGGGTGCGTCTACAAGATTGAACACAAAGTACACCTAGCGCAATGCATCTAGTAATTTAAAGCTTACCAAAACAAGATATTCAACTGTTGCTTGTCAAGTTTAAATTGAGTCCATACTCGAACATTACCAAAAGTTAGCTTGCCAATTAGTCTTGCTCAGTTTGAAAGAATTTTAAAAACTGGGAAATCCTTTAAAAACCTATAGATGATAAAAATCAAAACAAAAATCTTAAAAACCAAAATATCCTTGTGTTTCTTATGACTATCGCTGAGTGTGGCGTTTTTCCATTTGTAGCTGGAGATCAACGCGCACACCCGGAAAGAGATCCTCACGGCACATCCTCCTCCTCGACCACCACAAACCAGCTGACCGTGCAGTCCTCTTCATCTTCTTCTCATCATCAATCTTCTCATCTCTCCACATCCACTTCGGGCACTTGTCTCAGCCCTCCCTCTGTCGTCTCACATCCAGGTGAAACACCGCCCAAATCAGTGAAGGGTGTTCCTGCCCACATCCGCGCGAAAATGCATTCTCTGACGAAAACTAAAAGCTTAATGGACCCAGAAAAATGTGGAGGTGTCGTACCCGGAGATGAGCCATTTTGCAGTTAATTGCCAAAACTGTAGTAAAATTATTTAAAACCCTAAAAATAGTTTTTGATAATTAAACAAAAAGCAGAAAGAGTGGGCAGTGAAGGGATTCGAGCCAGAGACAAAAAGTTTCGAAGGACAAAAAGGCCACACTAATAACTAGGCCATCAGAGCACGTTTAAGAAATGATAAGCCAAGCTTGTAAACCAGCAAAAAAAGGCCAAATTTTGTATGCCAAATATCTCACGTTACAGAAGGGTTCCGGAAAAACTAAAAGCAGATTTAGGATCCCCGATAAAAACTCTATCAGCTGGGCCAGGAGTCATGTGAAAACTCGAGCTTGACTTGACAAAAATCCCTTAGACAAAAAATGTGGAGAATCCGAACATAACTTTTAAAATTACCATGCCAACTCCATTCCAAATTTCAAAATGCTACTAGTTTGTCCAAATTCAATCAAATTCAATGTTTTTGGCATATAAATATTCCGCTTGACGGGCTTCATAAGGGGTTGCTAAGGGTTTTTGGAAATTTAATCGTATCAAATAGTTAGAGCACTTCAAAGTTTTGTCTCCATAGTAAAATGACCAACTTTTTCTAATCTGACAGATCTAGAAGGCGGATTTTAAAATCATTTCGATATTCGGATTATCCACATTTTTCTGAGTCGATTAAGCTTTTAAATGCAATTTTTCCTCAGAGAATGCATTTTTGCCTAATTTCGCGCGGACGTGCTGCCCCTTTTCAGTTGAGTTTGAGAATGAGTTGGGAACTTGGATTGGAATTGTGCAATTAACCGGCCAACAATGGGCGAAGTGTTGCTAGAATTGAAACATGACAATCTTTTATGGGATAGTGTTCCAAGTTAAAAATACTGTAATGCCCCAATCATCTTTTAATGAATAAAAGCTGTGCAACTTTTGAAGTCTTGAATTAAAAGATATTCAGTCCAGATTAGGTTGCAACCCAAATTGACTTAAAAAGGTGGGAAATTGATCAATAAACACTTTTTGTTTAGAGCAAACCATAGGTTAATTGGTAAATTTGTTATTTTTCAACGGAAATACGAAAAGGGACGAAAAACTTTCTGGACAGCCTAATAGCTGAAGTCTTTAACGTAAAGTTAGCCTACCTATTGTAAGCTTAAGAAGTTTTTTCGAACAGTGTCTAAACTTATTCAAACAATGCCGAATTAAGGTTGCTCAACTTCTTTTGACTTCTAAATAATCATGTTTCAATTTTGATGACCCTGACTGTTGATCAAGCTAATCAGGCCAGATCCTCCAATATCCAATCCAAAGCTCCCCCAATCCATTCCCCAATCAAGCTTTTCGTCTTGTTTTTGCCGAGCTATCGTGAGAATCCAAAAATTTCAAAGTTTCAAAAAACGTTTTTGCTTCCGGCTGCTCTGACTGAGTTCGGTTGTTTTTCGTTTCCGCTTTTTGTTCTGTTCGTATCAATCTTTTCAAGAGAAAAGAGAGTGCATAAAATGTTCGTTTGATAATTTTAAGTTTAAATTTTAGTTCCTAGAAATCTAAACTTCAAAAATAGCAGTATCGCAAAGCTTGCCACTAAAAATTCTTAGTTCTACTATGCAAATGCAAAAAAAGCAAGTCGGCTTGGAAGAAACTTACGTAGAAAGCATGGGAAATTGTGTAGAAACCACGAAAATGGAGAATCTCTATGTAATGAACTTGACAATCACAATTCAGCGTGGCTCTTTTTAACTAATCACCTGGTTAAAAAAGATCGACCTATTTAAAATCTATTATAATTGACAAGCTGGTGACCTTCACACAAGGCTTCGAATATGTAATATAAATAGTTTGCAAGCAGGCCTGTAGCCAGGATTTCGTTGTTTTTGGGAAAATTGCTAGTTTCATCCTAGTTAATCAATTTACACCCAAAGAAAAAATTTAGCAAAATCTTCAGGCTACATCATCATTACAATGATACTTTTCTAAAAGGAAATTCACTGGGAAAAATTTGCATTTTTGTGAGAAAATTTAGGGCTGAGGTTTTAGGCCCTTAGCCGTTATCCAGAAAACTTCTAACTGCCGTCAATCAATTCTCCGTGTCGGTTTACATCTAACTCGTGGGCTAAAAATCCGATTTAAAGCTTGTGAAGCGAGCCAGAGGGGCTCAAAGTTGGTTTGTCACGGCTATTTCTGCCCAACTTTGGGCTCCTCTAGTTCGCTCTACGAGCTTTAAACATAAAAAGTTTTACGTTTTTGTAATCGCGCACCTTCTGGCACAAGACCCTGGATGTGGGTTTGCACTTGGGTGATGAGCCTAAGCCGAATGAAGTATCCAAAAATAGAGCAGCTTTCTTTAAAAACTAACAATGGATTCGAATTCCTCATCCTCGAAAACCTCTGAATGCAAATTTTCAACCCAATCGGCCACAAAAAAGTGCGAAATCCACGTAGGCCCACGGGTGGATTCGTCACGAATATGTTAACAAGTCCATTACATAGAGACCAATCACGATCCATTTTTTAAAACATTTGGATTTCCACTTTCAGCGGAACAACCGAGCAAAGACGCGGACGAGGCTCATCCCGAGTTGAAACAAAGCTCGAATTTCATCACGAAATTGAAACCGCTGGGCTTTGCAAAGAAACAGGTCAGTAAAGATATCATCACTCCTCCTTTCTTCATAGAGTCAGAATTTTTCTCATCCAAAAACATTCCACTCAAATCCACGTTTTTTTTACATTTGCTTGTCTTCGCCTAACAAACTCTAATAACTTTTTTTACTTTCAAAGCTATTTTTAGAAGGGTTTTGAGTTCGGAATTTTTTGCAGAATTATTTACTGATTTTTATCTTTCAAAAAGGAACTCAAAACTCTTTGTTACTTGAACTCGAGATTAGCTGTACTCATATTTTTATATGAAAAAACAAGGTGATCCGGTGAGTTTGAAGAAAAGACTCAATTGGTTTATTGTCTGCGTTTATTAAAATATCTACTCGTGCTTACAAGTTGCGAATTTTGAAACCTACCTTTTTATCAAGAGATTGATCTAGAATTTTGGTTGGGCTTAATAGAATTGATCAGGGTTGGTCCAAAAATAGTTTTATAGTTAGGCAAAAGCCAGATTCAGGCCAGGATCTAGTTTTTGGCTTAGTCCTAGCCCGATATCCAGAAAGATATCCACAAAAGTCCTTAGGATCACCAGAAGCAGACCTAGACCTGCCATTGGTCACCTTAACCTCTGATTTACAGCTCTAGCACCAGGCCGAAACATCTCTAAATCTGAGTTCATTGGTTCAAAGGAATATAGTTTCAAATTTGTCCGGTACGAAAACATTTCATGAACCACAGTCAATACCCTTTCTAGGAAACAAGAATAGCAATTGAGTCTTTTCCAATCTAAAAACAAACTGAAAATAAAGCAGGAATTGGACGTGTTCTTCGATCGAACACGCCATTCATTCAAATTGCCCACAAAAGGCTCGTTCCGTTTGGGGTCTTTCCGCCCGAGCAAGGGCTGCTCATCACAAGGAGAAACACCGAGAGATGAGCCATCATTGACAACAACCACTCACTCATCCCATTCATCCCATTTTCACCACCCACCCTCAACATCGAATCTCTTGATGCTCGCCTCGTCGCATTCAAACGAGGATTCGTTCACCCGGTCGGCATCGGCGAGAAATCGAAAAAAGGCGCGTGAGCTGTGCCATTGCTTTTTCTTTTTGCCTATAACATGCACAGTACAGTTGGATTTGGGAGATCAGAAATTGATCAGATTTTGCATTGAAAAACTTTTGAAACTGGAAACCAGATAATTTGAAGATTTTTATTTTAAGATGAAGCTCAGCTGAAGTCTTGGAAAAAATGTGTTTCAAATTCAGCCGCTTCAAATTAGCACGAGAAATTTTAGTGATTCATCCCTCTGATCAAAAAAACTTTAATTTTATAAAGATAGAGGATTGACCAATTGCTTTTAAAGTCGACACTCATTTCATTTGCTATTTTGTGACTCAAGTTTGAAAACAAAACCGATGAATCTCCCCATCTCCAAATCCAACTGTACCCTTTTCCAGGAATGCGCACCGCTTATCCAAAACGAAATTTTTCGTTGCACCAATTTCTCTTTTATTAAATCTTTTTGCGTTGCTAACAAGAAATTCTTTTCATCTTTTTGGCTTCGCATTTTTGAGCTGAGAAAACTTGTGTTTAAAAATCCAAAATCTTAACTTTGAAACGCCTCTTTTCCCACCTCAAAAATGCCCATTTGCGAGTCTTTTCTTTACTTATTTGTCGCATGTTTATGTACTAATATTTGTAAAAAAGCTTATCGTTTTCTTTTTACGCTTATCTGAATAGCTTTACATGTTGCATGTTTGTGTTTTTATTTTTGAATCTCATTTTTCAATGTTAGCTTTTTTATTTTTAGATCGAGCCTTAAAATCCATGCCTTTTTCACATTCCAATCTCCAAAAATGTCTTGTCTTTTTTGAAAATGTTATGGAAAATTTGTCAAAAATAAGAATGTCTTTGGTTTTTTTGATTTTTTTGGAAATTTTATGGGCTAGGGGAGTATCTGTTTGTGGATTTGATGGTTTTGAAAATTTCTACTTTTCGAAATCCTCAAGTTCCCTTTGAAATCAAAATAACGGATTCTAAATTTCTCACGAACACAAGAAATAGTCAGCTAATGCTTTTTTTGCAGTGGTGTGGCAAAAGATTTTTTTTTAACGACCTAGATCTCCTCAAAGAGAAATATGTTGACACTTATGCGTTCCTCGTTTGCGTTCAATTTTTTCAGTTTCAGCGTTTTCAACATTAAAGGACTCTTTTTCAAGTTAGTTATTGTGAGGATGCCGAATTTTGTGTACAAGCTGCAAAATAGCGGCACTTAAAAGATATGAGTTTCGAACTTTCACAACTTCGTCATAAACAGCGAATTTACAGGTTAACTAGTAGGCTGTCCAGCAAGTCTTTTCGTACTTCCGTTGAAAAACAACAAATTCACCAATTAACCTATTGTTTATTCTAGATAAAAAGTGTTTATTTATCGATTTCCCATCTTTTTAAGTCAATGTGGGTTTACTTTCAAGCAAGCTTGAGAATGAAAGCGTGTTTTTCGTATAATCTATAAAAACCTCTACGAAGAAATCGGCTGACAAGAATTTCTCTGAAAATTTGGCTATATACCTAACTTTCTGTGCTCTCCAATTGGTGAACTCAATTTGGTTTCAACAAAAGTGCAAAAAGGAACGAAAAGACTTAGACTCTGGACAGCCTAATACAATAGAACCCAGTAACATCTCTGCATCTCAATCACTTGCCACATTGAATCACTATTGAAAATATCGCTAACATTGAATATTTTGACTACATATCTGGCTTTTGGTGTTTAAGAGATGTTAGTTTTACTTTTAAAAGTGTTAAATTTTGCTTCCATTATATACATTTTGAAAACGGCCGAAATTTATGTTATTAAGGTAATCCTTTAACGCTAAACTTTAATAATTTGAAACAATGAATTTTAATTAATGAATAACATTGTTAGAACATACCCAGTGGCCATTAGCACGCGTTTTGACTTTGACCAGGTGTGCGCTTTTTTTATTGAGTAAGATTCTAAACCCTAGCCTGGACAAATTTGAAACATTGCATATAAAAACATCAAAATGACTTGAAAAGGAGTCCTTTCAAAAGTTTGCGTTTGCTTCTTTTTTGTTCCAAATTCTCGTGTCCACCGTTTTTTTTCATTTTTGCGAGAGTCATCCAAAAATTTGTTTTCAGTTCAAAACGTCGATCCGTTCTTTTTCTTTAGTTTTAGCTTTAAGTGGTGTGACGAACTAAACTTCTATAAATCTCATTCTTTTCTCTTCTTGAAACAAAAATTCCATGTCTTTTCCGATTCTCCAACTATTTTTGAGTTCAATTCTTGGATCCTGAAAAGAAATCGAATACTGGGCTTTTTGGTGTACTTTGTGCTCACTCTTGTAAAAACATCCTTGCCGGCGCACTCAATTCTTCCATTTCTCCCTTAAATCGTTGCTGTGAGGGGAAAATGGAAGAATTAAGTGCACTAGAAAGGGGTTTTTACGGGATTCAGAGAGCACAATATGGCAATTCGTCTTGCTCACAGTTTGAAACACTTTGCCACTTAATAATAAACATTAATAGATATTAGATTTTGAAGTTTGGGTTTAAAATGGCTTAAAAATGGCTGTACAGTTCATTTCATTTACTTTTTCCCAGTATGCGATTTCTCTTTTTCTCTCAATCCCCTTCTAGACAATTTCCTCTAGATTTCCTCCCTTTTCTCCCCACTTTTCCTTCCAAAATGCACCAATTCACCCTCAAAACATTCATTTATTTTCTTTTTCCCCACCACACAACAAAACCATTAGCTGGCCGTTTTTGTGAGTTGCTCTCTTGGATTTTGAAACATTGATCAAGAATAGGAAATGCTAATTTAAATCTGGATCTGAAATCTATTCACGTCCATCGTATGCCTCGAAATTTTCGACATTCAGTTAGAACTGATGAATCTGATTCATGGAATGATAGACCAGAGTCAAATCTGACTTCTAATTCATAAATTCTTGCCAAAATCCAAGAGCCCAACTCCAAATCAACAACAAAGATTAGTTATTTTGAGTTCAGCTAGGGCACCTCTTCATAGAGAAACCCCCGAAATCTTTACTTGAAACTCTAAGAATTTTTCAGCAAGTCTTGACAAAAGAAGAAGAAGAGAGAATATTTGCCGAGTACAACTACACTGGTGAATCGTACACTGGTGAGCTATTTTCAAAAGCTTATGTCTTTTTCTCTCTTTTACCCTCGATTTTGAAACTGATTTCTCTGGGTTGCAGGCGCTACCACAAATATCCATCCATTACTTTCCTCACTCGTCAATTACACGCATCCGGTCAAGTTCTCGGGATTCGATGTGGCTGAACGTGGGTTTTGCGTAACATTTGAGTCAATTTCATTCTTTAAAACCTTTCAATACAAAGCAATACAGCAATATAGCGGCACTATTGACAGCAATACAAAACTTATGATAATTCATGGAGTTGTCAATTGAAAATTTAGTTCAAGAATATTTGAGTCTTTCTAAGTCTACTTTTAAAATATAGCCCTTGAGCAATACGTTTTCTAAAAGGCACCTATTCGAGCCAGAGTCATTGCCAGTGTTCATTCAATGATGAAAGCTCAATTTTGGTATCACTGAGCTTCGTGGTTCGTCATACCAAAATTGTGCTAATCAAATGGCTGTCTGATCTGGGTGGCTTTCTAAAATAAGTGCTTTTTAGTAAACACAAAAGCCAAGACGATTAGTTACATATCTTGCAATCATTACATTCATATATCTATTTCTTACTCCCTTGGCTCGATGGCTTGCCAAATTAAAATAATTTAATGGTTTAACCTCATCTCATTACAACTTAGATATAAAAGCACGGTTTCCAGAAAACAATCTCCATTTCCACATGTCCTCCTTTTCCGAGTCAACTGGTTTGGGTTATTTGAAGCAATTCGCACCCGAATTCGTCAACTACAACAAACGGCAACTCAGCCGAATCTATCCGAAAGGAGCCCGAGTCGATTCGAGCAACTTTTTGCCTCAAGTCTGATCATTTCTTTTGATCAAATTATTTTAATCAAAACTTTTGCACTCAAGAACCTTTTTTGCAAAACTCATTTTCCAGATTTTCTGGAATGCCGGTTGTCAAATGGTTTCCCTCAATTTCCAAACTCCCGACGTGTACATGCAGCTGAATCAGGGAAAATTTGAATACAATGGGAATAGCGGATATCTTCTGAAGGTAATTGAGAGTTCCTCAATTTTATACGAGTACAAGGCAAAGATGAAATGTATATTTTCAGCCCGATTTCATGAGACGGCCAGATCGATCGTTTGACCCTTTCTCGGAGAGTCCCGTCGATGGAGTGATCGCCGCGCATTGCAGTGTTCGGGTAAAAGATCTTGTCTTGAAGCATGGGGTTTTCGAGTTAAGCTTGGAGCTTGTTTACCTTGTGCGCAAGAATTAAAACACGTCCTTTCAAATGACCATATTTCTTTCAGCGAGAATTACCAGATAGATTGAAACATTTAATTTCCAAAACAAACAAAAACTGCTGAGGCTGGCTGGAAAACAAATATTCAATGGGATTGAAGCTTCACCATGGTAAACTTAATCCAAACTTTACTAAATTCAGGTGATCTCGGGGCAATTTTTGTGTGATCGCAAAGTGGGTACCTATGTGGAAGTGGAGATGTACGGATTGCCGACAGATACAATTCGGAAAGAACATCGAACAAAAATTATCCCAACAAATGGACTCAATCCAGTTTATAATGAGGAACCATTCGTCTTTAGAAAGGTTTGTGAATTGATAATGGATTTTGCAAAATGAATCAAATCTTCAGGTGGTTTTACCCGAATTGGCCGTGCTTCGCTTTGCCGTATACGATGAAAATGGGAAACAATTGGGACAAAGGATCTTGCCACTAGATGGACTGCAAGCTGGATATAGGTGAGTGGTGGAAGTAGATAAGAGTCAGAAAACAAGTTTCAACTTAAACGGCACAAAACCTAAGCAACTTATAGTAGTCTCATTGCAGAATCAATCTCATCCCATTTAGACACATCTCATTGCGAACGGAAACGAATCAACCGATGTGTTTGCCCACTCTTTTCGTGCATCTTGGCTTGAAGACCTATGTACCCGATGAGCTGAGCAGTGGGTTTTTTATTCAAAAATTGAAAATCGGATCCGCAAAAGAAGTCAAGTCTTCAAAAATTCGAAACAAGGTACCGATTTCACATCTAGGTCTTGTCGATGCGTTGGCCGACCCTAAAGCCTATTTAACACAACAACAGAAAAGACAAGAAGCTCTTCATCATATGGGTGTCGATGATAGTGATATCGTTGAAGTGGTGAGTTCACTTTGGGAATAGATCAGGAATCACTGTAGCTAACTAGTGCGTTAAAAACGGTTGTTTTGGCTATCTGAAGCATAAAACTAAGCTCATATCATTCCAGATTCCCGCTGGCGGCAAATCAAATCCGATCACCAAAAACAAAACCCTCCAAAAGGCGAATGGATCGACGGCAAATCTGCTGAATGAGTTGGTATCAACGGGCGGAGGGGGGGGCTAGATGCACAAGGGGGAAGATAATGTAACGGTAATCAGCATACCATAAACCTCCTAGTACTTTGCATAAAATATAACCAAATTTGATATCTTAATGCTAAAAGTCTTGATGCCCTTCAAGTGCCTTGTTCAGAAATCAACCGCAAACCTCAGCGAGAAGCATCACAAATGATGGTCAAACACCGACGAATACCGGAAGAGCGGCAAATGAAGTCGTTGATAAGTTCAAGGTGGGTTTTGTTACAAAAATAATGGGTGAGAAAGTGTTTTTAGTTAATTCATTGAAATATGTCCCAAAATTGGCATATGTACGTGTAATTTGGTAGAATGAACCGCTTAAATTGAAGCAAAAGGGTAGCAATGCACCCAGTCCAAATTCAAACACATCTTTGAAAACCATGAAGTCTAAGCTTGGCTTCTTCAACGGGATGAAAAATCGGATTGCAAATGGATTGGGATTGGAGAGAGGAGGCGAATTCTCCGGAAGGGAGGTGAGTGATATGGGAACTCGAGTGGAAAGATGAGTGTTTGGGCGCACAGTTGGGTCGATAATGGTACTGCAGAACTGTCCACCCAAAACATTCATATATCGCTCAAAGTTACCGTATCCCAATCAATCCCCTCTCAACTCCATTCCCATTTGCATCAAACAGATCACTCTGCATTTGGTTGGCCCAATGGGAATCCCGAATGGAGCCGATATTTGGAGAAGAGAAAGATCCGCGTCCACATCGATGAGAAGAAAAGATATTCAATTCGAGAAATTGAAGGCAAAGAGATGAATGCAAAAATCCTCCCGTTTTGATTTTTTTTGCTTGCTTGTCCTGCAGGGATACAAAACTTTGAACAAATTGAGAGTTTCGGTTGTAAAACAAAGAAGAAAAGAATGTTTTTTCAAATTTAGCGCCTTTAAAGGTTCATTTTTTAGATAATACTGAATGACCGTATTAAAACTAGCAATATTGAAAACAACTAAATAATTATTAAGTTTATCAAGAATTACTAGACAAACAAAATTTGTCATGCCCAAGTGCATTGGAAATTAAATCTTTCGCACCTTTATAGCACTTCTAAAAATTAAAGCAAGGAAAAAAGTCTTTGTTTCAATGTGCAATTTTTCAATGAGCTTCAATGAGCTTTAAATGTGCAATTTTTTGAGCAATATCAAATGGTTGTTATATGCCTTAAATAGACCTACCATAATACCTGTAATAGTAGCACCCCCTCATACAGTCGCGTAGTCTAACTTCTTTTTAGAAAATCATTTTTTACTCAGCCCCAAGATTTTACCCAACTACACTTTTGGTACTAAAAATACTAGATTTAAAGGGCTATCATTTGACACCTAAGCGCACACTGTAGCATAAAGCAGCGCGGAGAACGGAGCGAGTAAAGTTAGACTACGCGGCAATACCCCGTCATTATGGGGGGGGCGTTGGATATTACGGTAATATGAATCTCTGCTTATCCAAAAACGTTGACCCTTGAACCCAAAATTAATTTTGCAAGATAAAATCAATTAATATTTTAATTAATATCAATCTATGTAGTGATTAATTTCAATTAATATATAATTCGTGTCTAATTAAATGAGCCACGAGAAAAGTAAAACACAAAAGTTGTCAAGAAATAAAACTAATGTTTCAAAATATAGCACCTGGTGCTCGATTAAAAAAATTTAAAGTCCGCAAGTCGTATTGGAAGAGAGGGTAAATATAATGAAAGTTATTAACAAGCTGAAAATGCAACCATTTTAAACTTTACATCTCTTTTTAAAATACTTTATTTCCCGTAATTTTGTGTCATGAAACATTTTACCAAGAGCCTGATAGAAAACATAAAAATCGCAAACAAACCTCCAAATTTTCAGGTGGATCCAATCTCGGTGGAAGAGCTGCGAAGGGACAAAAGCTTCCAGAAATTGATGAAAAAGCACCAGAAAGATTTGGAGGAAATGAGGAAAAAACACCAGAAACAAGGAGGAAACATCCGGAAACAACAGGTTTGTTTTTGAAGTTTCTTTTCGAAATTTGAAAGTTTATTTTTAGAAAAAAGAGCAAGCAAAGGTAAAAGCTGTTCCAAAAATAATTAGATATCATTTGTTGCAATTATTATTGATTAGTTTTTGTGGTTGAGCCTAAACGCTTTCTCAAACAACAACCCCTCCACCGCTTTAGCTGGCTATTGTATTAGACATTCAACACCAAAAAGTTGGCAACAAAAGGGACGCACCTTGCTCATTTATAGGATAAATCAGACTGGGTACCGTAGTTACCGTATTACAAGTAATATACTACAGTACTCTTTTAGGTACTATAAATACTGTTTCAAAGTCATTTTCAGCAACTTCATTAACCAAGACAGGATACTGTAGTTATTGACGGAGCTAACGTACTTTTCCATTTCCTATTCGGTATTAAATTTTGACCGATAAACAAATCGATTAGAAAAACTTTGAAACTTATAGCTCTGCTGCTAAATTTAGTTTAACACTCTAGATAGTCAATCAATCTTGAACCCTATGTAATAAAAGCAGAAAATTGGCGTTTTAAGGGTTTTCTTTCCATTTCGTACTTCCGTTGAAACTTCTTCAGTTTTCTAAGTTATGTGAAAAGTTAATAGTCAAGGTGTGCTGTGTTGCTCTTTCTGATCTAAAAATCCATTCACCCAAACGACAACAAAAATCTACTTTCATCTTTGCTGGGGTTTGAGATTAAAGTTAATCACTAATACCATAAATGAAATATTAGGCTGTACAGAAATTCTTTTCGTTTCTTTTTGTACATTGAAAAATAACAAATTCACCACTGCTATGGTTTGCTATGGTTTGCTCTAAATAAATAGTGTTTATTGTTTAATTTCCCATCTTTTCAAGTCAATTTGAGCTCACTTTCAAGCAAGTTGTGAATGAATGAAAACGTGTTTTTCGGAAAAATCTATAAAAACCTCTACGAAGAAATTAGCTGAATCAATTTCTCTAAAAATTGGCTGTGTACCTAACTTTCTGTGCTCTATCCTTTTTCTATTGGTACGAAGATAGGTTTCCTTAGCTAATTTTTCCAAACCGCATCATCGAGTCATCCACCTTTTTGACTACCCAACTTCACGCTCCCAAAAAAACGGACATAAGACATTTTAAACCAATTTTTATGTTATTTTGCAGAAAAATAATTGGCCTTTCTAATGAAACAAGCCGTAGTTCAATTGGTGAATTTGATGGTTTTAAACAGAAGTACGAAAAGGAATGAAAAGACTTTCTGGAAAACCTAATAAATTGAATAGGAAAACCAAGTACCGTAAATATTGTAATTGAAGGGCACCCTCTAATAGAAGGGCAGCGTCCCCATACAAAATTGGCCGCCCATAAAGTCGCTACTTTTGAAAAAGAGTTTGACTGAAAAGTGCTTAGAATGATGTATATGGCCCGTATGTATAACCTAAAAGGGTTGGCAGTAAAATCTAAAAGGATCTAAAAAATTGGAAAAAAATTTTTTTAAGGGGTCAAGGCATTTTCGAGAGTCCGACCCCAGGAGTCAAGGCTGAAAAAATTTTTCTTGTTTTAAACATGTTTTTCGTTCGTTTTAGAGCATTTCCAATTGAGCTAGAGTGATTTTAAAAGATTTTTTTAAATTTTATATGGTCCCGCTTTCGGGAAGTCCGAAAAAGGATAGGGAAAAAATATAAGGGCAAGCCCTTCAATTACAATATTTACGGTAACTTGTCTTTCTGTGAGTACTTTGTACTCAAATTTTATAAACACAGCCTTTTTAGTGCTTTTGAATACAAAGTCCACCACTAAAACAAAGCAATTAATGATTTACTGATTCCCTAAAAATTTCAACAACCTCACACTTCCACACACACACACACACTTTCACCTCCCCCCTCCCGGCCCAAAAAAACCGCTTTACAACAACTCTGAATTTGATTGTCTGATCACTAACTGTCCCTTGTCGGCTTTTCCAGCAAACAACCGTCGACAAATTTCTGGGTGACAATCAACGATCGCAGAAGAAAAAGGGCGGATTGAGCGGGAGAGATCACACACAATTGGAGGATCGCATCTCCGATCCACAACAAGCGGCAACCAATCCACGGGTAGAGTTCACCGAATTGGGAAAACGATTTTGGTTCTCCTTTGTTGTGTTTTTATGTTTGCTTGCCCGGCGTGCTTTACGGAAAATCTTTTCTGGAAATTTGGGCTGAATTTTGAAATATTCATAGGAAGAATTTGTCTAAAGCATTAGTAAAGCTAAACTTTGTACCTTGCCAAGTCCTGACAATTTTGCTTACAAATTTCAAGCTCAACTGGGTGAAAGTCTCTTCTAGAAGGTTAATGAGAATTTCTTCATCAAAAAATTTCGATCCAGTTTAAGAATTCGAAAATTAATTTGTAAACACTTGAAATCTAAGCTCTTCAATTTTAAACTTTCAAAATTGGCGCCATCAAATAGTATTTTAAAAACTTAATGCCTATTGGTAGCCCAAAAATAATAGAAACTGCTACAGTATGGTTAAGGATACTATACTTTAACGGATATTCAGCTCTTTTGCACTACTTGCACTCAACATAAGACAAATTAGGTCATATACAATCCAGAAGTGATTCCCCATGAACCCTTTGTGCTTTCAACTAACAAGCAACAAAAGAACTAACTTGTTTTTGTGCAAACAAGAAAATGGCTCAGCTACAGTGAAAACTCACCATCGTCGTGACGTCGTGACGTCGTGACGTGCGGATTTTTTTAGTTTTTGGAAAAACTTTGAAACTTCAATTCCAGATGCGCTCACTTGTGTCTAATCAAACGGATGAATGGTCATCGTTATACAAAAAACATGAGCAAGAGGAATTTGAGATGAGAAAAGGACAGATCAAAGAGCAATATGATTTGTTGAGGTGAGAATGGGATTAGAAAAGAAATTCCCCTGACACAGGGAATAAAACTAACGAAAACTCTGGGGTGGGATGAAAACCAATTTAATTAGCCTATTTAATTGCCCTTTTAATTGACCCTAATTAAATTTTAAGTATGGGTAATTAAATTTTGTCAAAGCTTTTTCTTGCTGTGCGGAAAGTTTTGCACCACATGATAGCGTTTTTCGGGTACTTTTGAGTCTGCTCTATGCAATAAAATCGAATAGATCCTTGTGAAAATGCGAACTTCTTGATCTATAGACTTTAGAAATTTCTTTGCATCAATTAAATTTAATTGGTGTAATTTAAACTTTAATTAGGGATACTTATAGATTTAATTGGGGTGAAAATAAATTTATGGGGTAATTAAATTTATTTTCACCCATCCCAGAATATTTAAACAACTCCTTTATCCACAAAGCGACCAAGTTGACACCCCAAACATGGGTAACTAAACTAATCATTTGAAAACAACAAAAACAAAACGCTAACATGAATGAATGTGGAAGAAAAATGAGCAATCGGGAAAACAAGTGCTGTTACATTGCCAGGCTAACTTGTTTCAGAGAGTGGAAAGGTGGAAATGGGGAATAGCCCAACTCGGCTAGGTAGCCTATATCGCAATGGGATACGTGTGCTAAATGGGTGCTGGTCGGCACATTAACTTAAATTTCCTCTTTTTAGACTTTATATGAATAGAAACTTTAGATTTTTTTACCATAGATGCTGTTATCAAAGTTCAAATGCTAATATTTCCTTGATATCAGGTATATTAAGATGATCAAGCGATCAAGTTTCAAAACAAATCAGCGAGATTAAGAAAACTACTGGTTAATGAATTGATCACCAAGTAATCTTGTTTTGCTTTTCAGAAAGCTGATGTCCGATGTGCAAAAGACGCAAATGGCCGCATTGAAGCAACGCCTGGAAGCGGAGAATAAAGAGCTGAAGAGTTGCCAGACAAAGAAATCAATGGAAGATGCGAAGATTATTCAAGTGGTGAGATAATCATAGATTTTTTTACCATAAACAAGATAGGCTACAAAAAGGAAATCCGGTTCAATTACCCATTTCTAGGACAAGGGCATCAAAACGAAAGCCGAACGGGATCGCCGAGTGAAAGAGTTGAATGAGAAAAATTTGAAGATGTTCGTGGAAGAAAGGAAAAGACTGGCGATCAAGTGAGTCATTTGGGAATGTTGGAGCTTTGAAGAATTCGTCTTTTAGCTAGAAAAAGCCAGAATAATAATTCAACACTTACAACATTTAGAGCTCAAAAACACGAAGAGCAATTGGCGAAGCGGCACCAAGATCAATATGACGAATTGGATCGAGAAGCACAAAAGGTTTGTTGCGAACGGAAAGAGTAATCCATTTCTACGAGAAATTAAATAATAAATAAGAATGACACTAGCTAATGTTCAAGGAAAAGAAAGAATTTGCATGAATGTGCAAAAAAAATTGTCCGGGATGGAAATAAAAACTTCCACTTCTAAGCCGTCAAAAATGAAACTTTGATTCTAGTTTTCTATCAATGTTCTCGATAACACTTACACGTGCACTTTGTGCTCAAAAATGTAAACAACCCTTTCTGGCGCACTGGAATCTCATTTTTCACAATGTTAGGACAAAAGTTGAGGTTCAAAGGCAATAAAAAGAATTTATGTACATTTTTGGGCACAAAGTTCACCGCCAAAACTGTAGAATTCACTTTTCTTTGACAATCAAAAATATTAGTTTCAATTTGAGCGGCATCGCGTTGGTAATCTAAAACCTGATACCTAAACATTTCTAGGTTGTCGAAGATGAAGAGGTCAATCATATAGAAGAGAAACTCAAAACTGCCGCAAAACTCAATTCAACCGTTTAAAGAAAGCCAACTTCTGCAGCTTCGTTTCCAATGAATACTCCGTGTAGCTTTTCATCATCTAGTCACTTTCCATTTGTTTTGCGTAACATGCTTTCTAATTAAGAAAATAAGGTTTCAAATTAGACGGCTCGGATTATTTTGCAGTATCTTCAATTGCGAAGTTTGTTTTTAGCAAAAGCATTTTCTAAAATGTGCCAACTTTCTCGACTCGAATCTTGCGCCTAAATTTATTGAATTCATACCGTAATCCTGCTTTTAGTTTTATCCAATCTATCTGCTTTGGTCTGATTCTGTGAGGGTTTACAAAGGATATCAAAAGATACAAAAAAGATAGATTAGATAAAAATAGGCACAATGACGGTAGTTTTCTAAAGTTGAAACAATTTAGAAAACGTTAACTATACGTGGCCGGGGCTTTATGGTATCTTTAATGCAAAATGGATGGGCCTATAAGTACCGTACATTATTTAAAACTTATTTTAGTAGATACTTTTTCGCTTTCCTTCCCAAAAAGGGTCACTCATTTGAATATCAATCTCTTTAGTGGTTGTGTGCAAAATTTCCCCCCGAAATTGCTCTTTTTTTTGAAACTTCTACTCCTTTTTCATTTCTTCTCTCCAACTGTGATTCTTGTGAGGTCATTTTTTTGGTTGTTTCGTTTAGAAAACTTGTATCGAGATTGACTTTCGAGAGAAATGTTGCCATTTTGCGTTTTTCATCTTTTTTTTGTTTGTCTACGATGCATTCACTAAATTGTGCTCAGATTTGTTTATTTCCCATATTTAATGGTTTTGACCCGTTTGTTTTGCTTTTTCCCCAAACTTGGAAATTATTTCATCCTTTTGTTTTACCCATTTTATTTTTTCCCATTTTCCCCCCTCATTAACTGCCATGTTAGAGGAAAAATTGTCGATCATTGCTTTTCAATTTTTGAACGATCTTTTGTAAATTATATTAAATATCTGAATTTAAAAATGATTGGGAAAGCTGTTGAACTTGAGAATTTTCTATTTTTTTCAGAAAAACCTTTTTAGTTTTCTTTTCAGTGCCCCAAGTAGTTCAGATTTTTACAGACACATTTCTTACTGTAATCGGGGCAAGCTATAAACTTACTGTTAATAAAATCTTGGGTAAATGAACCAAAAATGTTTGGACACAGGTAAGTGAACCGCTAAAAGAAGAAAAAAAACTAAGGTTTCAGTGTGCCAGCCAGCGTGCGGTCATGCCTTCCATGAAAGACCCACAGAGAACGCACAACTTTACAACCCCAATCAAGTTCAAGTTCAGACCTTTCTCAGAGTCATTTCCTAAACTCAAATCCGACTTACTCAAGAACTTCCCGGAGAACTTCCAAAAAACTTCCAAAAAACTTATCCAAATCCCGGAGAAATCTCACTGAGTGAAATTCCCAAAAATGAAAAAGAGAAATTCGCATTCCCAAAAATGAAAAAGAGAAATGTGCATTCCCAAAACCCAAAAAAGTTTCCCCAGAGACGTTGGACCCAAAAAATTCTTTGCAACTACTTATATTTTATTTTTTCGTTTTTATCATATTCCCGAAATTCGTCCATACGTGTCTTTTTCTTGTCATCTTATTATTTTTCATCCTAAAACTTATCGAATTCTATTCTTTTCCGATTGAGATGCCAAGTGATTGTCTATTTTTATTATTTTTTCTCTTCACGTTGCGAGAAAGGTAAATGATTTTAAAAAATTTGGATAATTTGCATTGAAAATACTATTTTCATAAGTGTCATTGAGCTCAAATTTATCAAAGAGAAGCCGATTGATTTGAAAATTGAAAAGTTCAAAGTGAAAAAGCAACTACAAAAACGTTTTGAAAGTTTACAAGGGGTGAAGACCAAATATAATCAAGGATAGTAAAATCACAACACAATATAGAGTAGCACCTTTCAATTTATCTCATTTTTCTTCATTTTTCATCACCTCGGCACCTTTCATCCAGTAATGTTTAGCTAAATGATCATCTTTAAAGTTCAAAGAGAACTGTCAAAGAGTTCAAAGAGAACCCTTTAAAGAAGTTTGTTTAACTAAAATAGCATAAAATAAAATTCTACTTATATACCTAGCCATTTAAAAATCTTAATGCCTTCTTACTGGCACCAATAGCAAGGACTCGAGCTTTCAGCAAACTCACTCGTCGACAATTCCCTCCATCGATGCATCGAAAGCCGGGTGGACAACACATCCCCGAAGACTCCCCGCAACAATTCCCCCGAAAATATGGACAGCACTCTAAAAGAAAAAAATTTAGATTATGTGAAGATTCGCTTTGATTCTGTGAGCACTTTGAACGTGATAAGGTGCGTTTTACCTTGAAAGTGCTAAAAGCTTGACTTTCTCAAACCTTGCCACTGGAAATTCGAAAGCAAACAAGATGAGCCAAAATTTTGTCACTAGTTAGAGCCATTTCCAACAAAATAGCAAGAATTAGTTGTTCAACTCAAAAATGAAACTGCAATTGTTGTGAAAGCTCACTAAAAGTGCCTCCTTTTCCCGGACAACATGTCTCATGTAATTCACACTGAATCGTCCCTTTTTTGTCGCAGAGATTTGGATCAGATGTGGCAGCTAAAGGACTCTATTTTCATATTTTTATACGATTTTGAAAATCTTGTAAATATATTTATTAAATTTGCATTGAAAATGCGCAGCCTTATCAAGTGATGCCAAAATTGAGATAGGTTTTTTTGATATGCTGTTTTCAAAGCAAACTCACCTCAATCTTTTACATAATTACCTGAAAGGAAAACGAATTCAATTAATACAATTACGATTAGCGTTGAGAAATTTAGCATTCAGCAGAAAGAATTTTTGACTCAGTTTGGATCGATTTTCGAAATTCGGAAGCCCTTTTTTGGGATGGCCTTTTCCTGTGAAGAGATTACAGTGATAAGACCGACTTATTGGCTCTTATGAAAGACGCGAGAAACATCATTGGCTTTAATTTATCAATTGTGATTAATAAAATTAAAGAATTTTATTTTAGAATATGTGAAACTTGGAAAGTTTATCGACCGGTGTTTTATCACAAAAAAGACAAAACAATTCTTATAAACGATCAATAACAAGTGCTTGTACAATGCTTCCCGCTGGAATTTCACTCATTTCCGATTTCCCGGGTAGTTCGAGAAGCAGTTGGGCACCCTGAAATTAAAAAAATGGATATTCTCTATTTTTAAAAAAATAGATAAAAAATGGTAGTTATCGGTTCTAGCAATGGTTATTCACGCAAAACTGACCCTCAAGCTCACTAATCGACTCGAGATTTGATTCCCGGTTGTTGTCACGATTGGAAGAATTTCCCCTTCTTTTCTTTCAATGAATCCTCTCCGAAATTCGGGGCGAGAATCCAATTTGACCGTGTCGGATAACTGGAAATTTGTTTACTTGAAACTTTAGGTCGAATTCTCATCGGGGCCACGAAAATTTTGCTCTATAATAGTTCCAGAAGTATCATTTATGATTGAAACTTGTTTACAAAGCTTAGGATACTTCTGAAACTATTATAGATCAAAACCTGAGTCTGACTAGAGAATGGTGCCGACTCAAAGTGGCCTATTGATTCGAGACCTATCCCATTTTGCGGAACGCTTCTCAATAGCAAGCTATCTGGCAGAAAATTGCCTTAAATTTTGGGTTCTTTATGAGGGCGCCACACAGAATCTAAACGATTGCCTCGGTGGTCTAGTGGATAGTGTGCTAGACTACCGAACCTATGACATTTTTGTCCTGAGTTCGAAGTCTAAAATTAAATGAAATGAAGTGTTAGTGAATCTAAAATGTATTGTCATACAATTTTAGAATCGAATTACTTTTTGTTAAATTTGATTCAGTTTTCTCCACCTTTGCACTCATTCTCGTGTGCCAAATGCGGTGTTCGCCGCGTAATTTTCGAATCGATGGAACGGCAAAGAGTTGAGCACAAACCCATGATGAGGCTGGGTTCCCGGGAAGGGCGAAAACAAGCTGAACGTTTCTTTTGAAAGTTTTTACTACATTAGAAGTCTTTAGATAAAACTAAATAAAATTTGATTCGGCTTGGACATTTCAACTCCCACTTTTTTCTGCCCCAGGAATTCTCCGGTCGCGAAAGTCGTAGGCAAGCCCGGCTTCATGAAAACTCGCCCGAAATGAATCTGGAATCATCTTTTCTCAAAAAATCCCTCATAAAAATACTTTGAATCCAAATTTCTCACTCAAAACACTTTTGAGGAGATCTTTTTCGCCCATCGACACACCACCAGATGAGATGAGAACTGAGGAAATGGAGAGTGCCGTGGAAATGGCTTGCACAAGGGACTCCTCACTGGAATTGAGTTCGTTTGGCTTTAAAATTAAAAATCTGTACAAAAATATTAAGTTAGTGAATCAGTCTTTTCGTTCCTTTTTGTACTTTCGTTTCAAACCAACAAATGCACCAATTGAACTACGGTTTGCTTCATTAGAAAGGCCAATTATTTTTCTGCAAAATAACATTAAAACGGGTTTTAAATGTCTTATATCTGCATTTTTTAGGAGCATCAAGTCGGGTAGTCAAAAAGGTGGCTCGATGATGCAATTTAGACACTCTAGCTAAGGAAACCCATCTTCGTGTCAATAAATAAAAGATAGAGCACAGAAAGTTAGGTATATAGCCAAATTTTCAGAGAAATTTTTTCAGCCGATTTCTTCGTAGAGATTTTTATAGACTTTTATGAAAAACACGTTTTCACTCTCGAATTTGCTTGAAAGTAAACCCAAATTGACTTAAAAAGATGGGAAATTGAACAATAAACACTTTTTATTTAGAGCAAATCATAGGTTGATTGGTGAATTTGTTGTTTTTCAACGGAAGTGCGAAAAGTCTTATTTATCAACCTAATATTAAGATACTTTCTTTAAAAACATTTTCAAACTCACTCATCCTCAACGATTCCCATATCAATCACGTCGGCTCCACTTTGCTCACAAAGCGCTAGTAATTGGGGTCGATTCGTGTCCCGGATATGACCGATGGGCAAACGAGGGCGAATCGCTTCACAAACCTGATTTTTGAAATCATTTCCATTTGTTTTTGAATCATTAGACTATTGAACTATTATATCTCACTCCAATTACACTTTTTAAATTTTAAGACGCTGAACTTGTACCTAAAAGAGTTCACAGGCACTTTGTTTTCTTTCGGTTTCAATATTATATTTTATTGGGCCTATATTCTTATTTTCTATAAATTTTTTGTTTAAACTCATGTGATGCCGTTTTTACAATATAGGCTCACTACCTTCTACTAAAGTTAAAACAAGCTGACTATTTTGAAACACGGCCTTGAAAATCTCCATTTACCTCATTTCCGGTGGACATCACGGCGACTTTCGGTTTCTTGCAGACATTCACCAATTGAAGGCTGAATTTATTAATATTTAAATTGATTTAAATTGATTTCGTTCATATTTGATTAAAATATATATAATAAAAGACTAGATGATCTTTGTTATCAAGAAAACAACGAACCCACTCGCGAGGAGAATCCCCAGCTCGGCACTTCGGATCGTCGATCCTTTCTCGAGGAGAAGTTCTCCTTTTGACGTGTCTGAGCCGGGTAATCTGAATTTTGAAATTCTTTGAGACAACATTACAGATGTTGGACAAATCAAAACATTCTCAAATTGATGAGGCTAGGTCTTCCTATTAGGTTTGAAATCCCTCACCGAATATCTTGTCCATCTTTCGCCGTTCCATTCACCTCGATCACCAGTTCTTCTGAACCCTAAATTAAACTTTGAGATGGAATTAAGATTTTGCATTTTATTTTATCAACTTTTATATGTTTCAGTGATTTCACAACTTTACATCATGTTCCAAAAGTTTTGTCAACTCGACCATCACAACCGCCGTCGCCGAATCGGGCACAAAAGCTCCAGTGCTCACACGAACGCATTCACCTGAAAAAATGCAAGATTTCAACTGGATAGCCAAGTGAAAAGCCAAATTACATTAGGTCGATCAAATCCTTTAACTCACCCGGATTTAACGTCGAATTACATGGAGAACCGGCTGTCGAAAACCCGATCACTTTTCGCTTTCCGGGTGAATCGCTGGCTGAAAAGTTACAAGTCAAGTTTTTGTTGTGAATAAAATGTGCATTGTATTGTAGTTCATTGAATTTTTATTCTAGATTGTAGGTTAGTATTCTGGTCAAACTCACCCAAAACAGCATATCCATCCTTGATTGACGTGCGCACCTCAGGCACATTGTAGGCCGAATTCACATCCTCTGCCAAGACATCGCCTGAATCGCTTTTCTTTGTCAAATGTAAATGGCAATTTAACTTACGGACATACTTACGATTAGTTTGAAACCTTTATGAATATAAATCTGAAGTTAGAATTGCTAAAAACTAACCGATCTTCACTCTCCAAACCGGGGTTTTCTCGGAATCGAGCGCGTCTGTCTGAAGTAAATTTTAGAACTTGGCTAGTTCCTTACCCTTATTCGACTAGTAAACTTTTTGCCTTGCTTTTGAAAAACTTATCTAGTTCTTTAGCCTTATTTTGCTAGTATTTTAATAATTAAAAGTCTTAGTAAATTTTTAAATTTCTCCCTTTTCTTACTTCTTCTTCGATAATCGAATACGCTTCATCCATTGGAATGGCCGTCCACGGGGAAACGCGATGCCGATGAATGACACTCATTGAGAAGGGGAAAAAAGAGCTGAAATAGTTCTGATGATATGAATTAGTTAAGAATTGATTGATTGATTCAAAACAGCTTTATTTAATAATTCCAATCAAATCTGTGTAAAAGTGGGGCTTTTTGAATGCCTAGTTTAATTTTATTCGCACACAAATTTCATTTAAACGAACTCAATTTGTGGCATGGCAAAACGCCGTAATTTGTTTTAAAAAATATGTAAGTTGTAAATATTTGCAAGTAGAATGAGAAATAATTGCACGAATAGATTGTGACGGTCAACAATCCCCTTTTTCTCCCTCTCTCTCACCCAACAAACAAATCGATATTGCTTTCTCTTGGCAAACGGGCGAAAAAATAACCCCTCCAATCGGTCAATTGTATATCTTATCTTTATGGGATATGAGAGAGAAAACATTAGTGATTTTGAGTACTTATTAGGTTGATGAACTTATAATAGATTTTCATATTATTAAGAAATATCCAAATAGAGATATTTTATCACTTTATTCAAGAAGAAGAAAACCAAACAAGGGGATTTAGTGAAAGGATATTATCGTAATATGTTCAGGGATTTACGCTCAGGGTGCTACTGTAGCAAGCTCATAATGCCGAGATCCCAGAGTCCCCTCGTGCACTACTGCTGTGTTTGAGGGATGGCCTGTTCATTCCATGTCTTTCAACAAACACTTTCAAAGGTGAAAACATAGTTGGGACACTGAATGAAAGCTATTACAGTGATTTAGCGTAGCATCCAGTGTTCTTGTTAACAAAGTTTGAGATGATTTACGCTTGTTTTTCTCAGTTGGTGGGACTTTCTTAGATTATTTCCAGAATCTAGACTTTTCAGCGATCATTTCTAGATATGATTTCTAGATATTCATGTGTACCGTTTGAACTAAACGGTTCAACAAGAATGAAGACATTAGGCTGTCCAGAAAATCTTTTCGTTCCTTTTCGTACTTCCGTTGAAAAATAACAAATTCACCAATTAACCTATGGTTTGCTCTAATTCAGACATACGACATTTTAAACCAATTTTTATGTTATTTTGCAGAAAAATAATTGGCCTTTCTAATGAAACAAACCCTAGTTCAGTTGATGCATTTGGTGGTTTTAAACGGAAGTACGAAAGGAACGAGAAGACTTTCTGGACGGCCTAATACTTCGGAAACCACCTTTCCAACTACAGTGCCATTTTTTGTTTTCAAGTTACAAATTTCTTTTCCCTATTCCAAACCAAACTTTCCCTGTTAACACGTAAATATTCGATTATTTCATGGGTCGCGGATTTCTTCTCGTTTTTCGCTTTCCCCTCTACTTTTCCTCATTTCTCATTCCTAATTCGGCTCATCCGATGAGGCTTCTTGATGTGAAAAGGAAAAATTCGACCTCAAAAAGTTTGCCCAGAGCACCGGAAATTTCGGATTTTTTCGCCAAAAAGCAATGCATCAAATTATAGACTGACCAGGATTTTATACTACAATTCATTGGAATATATTAATTTTATTTTTTTCAATCTTTCAATGTTTATTCGGCTCTCAAAATTTCGAACACCTTCAATCTCTTTCGAGTTCATTCTTGGTTTGTCTTCTTTCAATTAATTTTTTTGGTTATTTTTGCATAATGACCTAATTATCTATCAAAAAGCATTCATTTAGTTCACTTGTTAATTTGTGGTTATTTTCCCCGGACTAATCCCTCAATTCATCATCGATTTGATAATTGGCGATTAACTTCAAGATTTCAAATTTACTTCAGTAAAATAAAAAAAATTATGGTAGGTAAATTATGGTAAAACTATGGTAAAAAAAGGTTTGGTTTAATGTTTAGCCTTTTGCCAAACACAATGCTAACCTGTAGTCAACCCAAGAATTTTTGCTTCAGAAGTGCCTCCCAATTCATCATTTCGTATACTTCATCTCTTTTCGCTCTATAAACAAAAAGCGGCTTTGACTCTTGAAATTCCGAAAGATGTTAGCAAATCGACGGAAAAACATATTCAAGGAGAGAAAAACTCAAAAGAAATATTGGGGGAGGTTGCTATTGGTGACCCGTATAGATAGATTTGAAAGGGGAAGAGGAGGGGAGGGCCAAACCCCGAAATTCCCGTGCTTCCTCTTCCTCTTCACCCCCTTTTCCCCCTCTTTGAATCTCGTTTAGTTCCTAAATTCCATAACAAGTCGAAGGCCCAGTTAGGCACCAATTTAGACTTAAATTTGTCCTCATTTCATGCGTTCACAAGTCGCATACTCTTTTAAATTGACTGTTGTATACTAACTGACCTAGAGAAGTTGAAGCTTGGCATTTAAGAACTAAAGCTTTGCATCGACTTTGAGTCTTTCTTTTACAAAGAATCATAGATTTTTCTAGTCAGCTTGTGACCCAAACCCATCTTGGTCTCCATCCTGAATTGATTACAATTCTTGATTTTTGAATTTATTTGAAGAGAACAACTCAAAGACCCTGTGGCCAGTTTAAGCTCCAAATATGATAGTCTTGTATTCAATTTAGCTCTTGATAAATCTCATACTCGTTTTCAACGTAACTTGTCAACTTTTTGCTCATTGTTTTGAAGTTTCACTCGTCTGCAAAGTTTAACTTGTTTGTTTTTTCTAAATAAAGTCAAAAGGAAATTACCGATTTCTATCAAAGCAAAGCAAAAAAAGCGTGTAACTGCCATTCGAATCAAACTCCCATCTTTGATTTCTTTTAAATAAATCTCGAGGAAGCGTTTTCTCTCTTCTCAAGCCCTTGATTAGGTGTCCAACTTGTCTCCTTTTTGTGCCTTTCCTTCCATTTTTTTCTTTCATTCCTTTCTCCACTCCAACGCTAATTCTCGAGGCTAATTATCCCGACGCCGAGTTTTTGAATTTGTTGTTGGTTTTGTTTTTTCAGGTTTTATACTTCGGCAACATTAACATTTGCTTCTTGATCTTCAACTTTTTGGAACTTTATATTTGAAACTTCAGATCAACATGTCCTCCCTAATCATGGCTTTGGACAATCAGGATCGACAAGCGACCGCGAGGATATTATCGACAATGCCTGTCAGTTCAAAATTATTACATTTTCAAGAGTTTTTTCGCCAAGTTCAACTTTAAACTCAATTTTTTTAGAGCCATTACAGACCGTTTTTGTCGTTATACTAATCGGTTTTAGTTTTAACAAGACCAGTAACTAAGATTATTTTAGAGAAAAAAATTTATGAAACTAGCAGTCATCAATGATTTTTGGTCTAAAAACTGTAGATAAATTTTTAAAGAAAAGGAAGTTTCGCGTTTCAGAGTGAGGTATCAATTCGAGACAACGAGGAGAGAGTGGCCCTTCACTATGCAGCCGAAACAATGGACATCGAGACGTTCACCTCAATTTATGAGCAAGATCCCGCACTTATTGACTCACAAGATGCATATGGGTTTGTGGATATTGGGTGTAAAACTTTTGCGAATCGGAAAAAAAGATGACGAGCTATTCAAGTTATTGATAAATACCAAGTTTCAATGTTTTAAACTCAAGTTCAATAATGAAAAATCGATACAAAAAAAATAGTGTTTTGATTAAAAATTTTAGGATATTAGCAGTAATATGTTTATAATTCAATTTAACAAAAAAACTTTTCAGTTACACTCCTCTAATGATAGCGGTGATGTCGGGGAGAACAGAGGTTGTCGAGTATTTGGTCACAAAAGGTTGGGATTTCAATTTTAATGAAAATTTATGTTTCGAAGAAACTTTTTCAAGCTACTAGACTTCTAATCACCTAGAGGTACGAGTAGGTTATCTCCCAATTAGAATATCATTCAAAAATTTGCATAAACTGGAAAATTTGCCTGCACCAGCGAAGCGAAGCATTGGTGGGCGGGTGGGAGGAGAGAATTTCATTTCCGTGACCGGTCGGTTACTTTTGAAGGGAGATAACCTACTTTTACCCAACTAGATTTCCGATCAAATTAGCACACAAAAATCTAGGAGCCAATCTGCGTCATGTTGACAAAGAAGGACATTCAGCCGTTCATTGGGCAGTGGTTTGTGGACAGGTTAGTCAAGTAAAAATCGATCAGCTGGAATAAAAGTGCATCTAATTTCCTAAGATTATAGATGTATCTTTTCCAACAATGTTTAATTTCGAAATTTTGCCAAATTTTAGCTTGAAACGCTCACGTTAATATTGGAGAAAGGCGCCGATCCGGCAGTACCCGATTTGATGGTAAAACTTTTTCGAAGAACTTGAATGCAACATTTATAACCTGAAATCAAGCTTATAGATTTACAGTTTTTAGTTCACAATTTGAAACCCATATTTTCAGAAAGCTCATCCACTGCACTACGCAACCGCAGCCGAGGAAATCTCTCATGATACCGCCATCTCAATCTTGCACACTTTATTGAGGTGAGATTTTTCTTGGCTGCAATTTGAAAATGATTGAACAATAATTGATTAGTATCAAAAAGTAATCAAGCATTATCAGGTATTAAATTGTTAGAAAAGCAGTAAGCAATTTCCTATTCAATGATTTAATGTTAGTTTACTTCAGCTTCGTTCTGTTTGGTTATGAGTTTTTTTGTCTGCTGTCTTAAAGTCAAACGGCCAGCCAAAAGCAACCTTGATCAAAAATTTGACTGTCAGTTATCAAAGTTACGCACTATCAACGAAAAAAATCAATTCAGGAAAGGAGCTCATGTGAATTGTGTGGACATCGATGAGAGAACGCCGATCCTCTGGGCGGCTAGTAATGGTAATAGAATAAAAAGTATTGCTAAGAGCGTTGTCTTCAGGCAACTCGGAGGTGATGATGTCGTTAAAGCAAGCCGGGGGAGATATGCAAGCGGTGGACAGGGATCGGCTAGGAGTGCTGCATTGTGCGGCAAGTCATGGCTATCATGAGGTACAATTGAGTGAGTGTGCTGATACAAAAATGTTAAAGCCTACACCAGCATCAGAAGTTGAACAATTGTAAGCGATCACTATGTCTCTTTTAGATAATCGAGATCGCCCTGCAATGCATTCCAAGGAAATTGGTTGATGCGCGAGATCGATCAGGTGCCAAAACAAGCTGTGCTTTACACAAGAATCGAACCTTATCAAATTATTGTATCAACTATAGCTTTACTCAGGTCACACCCCACTCTTCTATGCAGTCACCCACGGGCATTTTGAGGCGGCGAGGATTCTTTTGACCGCTGGAAGCAATCCGAATCATCAGGTGAATCAAACTTGATTTTTACAGGTGAATTACTTTACTTTTGAATAAGACCTAGAACTGGCTGATATCTATAATACAAATACCTTATCCTCAACGCAAGAAAACTACGTATATGATGACGATTTGGTCTTGACAAATTTGAAATATGTCTTTTTTTGAGGACTCTCGATTGCGCACGGCTTCCCATTGTGCGGCGGCGAAAGGACAGCTGAGAATGTTAAAATTGTTGAAACAATTCGGTGCCTCGTTTGAGATTCAAAATTATCGCGGAGATCTACCTGTACATGAGGCCATTCAAACGGGGAGTAAAGGTTTGTATCATGACTTGCTGAAAGTTAGTGCAGAGTAGAAAGAGGTCATGCAAAAGCTTAAAAGATCATTTTGTGAAGGATATCCAGGTTCAAATTTGATTTCAGATGTAACCGAATGGTTGATTCAACTCCACCCAAGCTCCCTAGATGCCACTTCGCACGAGGGACGCACCGGGTTGCATTTGGGTGGGTGATTTTCTAATTGAGCCTTCCTTTAGACCTGGCCAGAACAACTAGTACTAAAGTTAAAAATACAATTACAATAATGCTAAGCCATGGTTTAAAGTCGTTTTACCATTTTGTCTTTCTCAAATTTGCGACTTGAATTTTTTTCAGCGGCTGCCACCGGAAACATCGAAATGGTCGTTTATTTGTGTGGACAACGATGTCAGATCAATCCGTTGATGTTGTATCGGGTAAATTTTACTGTACTTTAAAAGATTAGCTTTTTGTTTATTGTTTACCATTTTTTACAAACTATTTTTAGAATAATTTGTACACACCACTCGACTTGGCGAAACGAAAAGATCATCAGGTAAGCACAAGAAGAAGGTTGAGTACATTTACCAAAACCTCATCAAAAGTAAAACCAAATATTTTTATCGTTTATTCATTGAGCTTTTTGCATGCAGAAGTTATTTCCTAGAGATGTTAAAAATTAAAAACAAAAAATAGACTTTTATAAACCTTTTTTATAAGTAGATTTCCAGGTGGTCGTCGATTACTTGAAGATGAGACATGAGGCAAAGGAAGCATCAGAGATTCCTGAAGAAGAACGATTGAGCAACAAAATTCACTTTGAAGAGCAAATTGTTAATGGTAAATGAGAAGAAATCAATGTCAAATCAAACTATTCAGCTAAACTGAATCGAGGGAAGGTTTTGCGTCAAGAGAACTCGGGAGAGCTATCGACAAGGAGGATCAGGTGGGGGAAACAATGTTTCAAATTATCAGCTTTAATCGTTTTTTCTTTTCACGTTCAAATATTTTTTTAAATCCGAGAGAATTAAAAATAATTGAAATTTGAGTGTTTAAAAATAGACGACTTTCTTTGGACAAAAATGAGTACAAAGTACCTGCGGATGGGCCTCTTAAAATATTATTTAGCTTCTTGAAAATTTTAATTTTCTCCACCCGATCCTCCTATTAGCTTTAATCAATTTAATCATTTTCCGTTGCAAACTTTAGGATGCTTTTTAAAGTTTGAGATAACTGAAAATAATTATGATTTGGGTGTTTAAAATTAGACGGTTTCCTATAAAAGGAAATCGTGTAATACATAGCCGAGTGGACTCTTTAAATATAATATTATTTAGTGTCTTGAAAGCTTGTTAATCAACAGTACTGTTCGAAAAAACCAAAACCTTTCTAATTTGACAATTATTCTCTGATGATTTTTGATACTAGCCAAAGCTAGCTGCAATTTGATTGTTTCAACATTAATGGCTCCAGCTTAAAGAAAACTTTCTGATGACGGATAAATATAATGGGATTTTTAGACGGCGTCGAACTTCGTCGGAAATGTTGATCAAAGCCACCCAAACGATCACTCCCGAAGAAGACAGCGAAGAGAGATTACAGGTAGAAAAAGCTTTGATATATGTAGCTACCTTAAAAACTCATGATTGTAAATAGCAGAGAGATTTTAAGAAATTTAGTGTTCTTTTTCAGACGAAAAATCGCCGTCCATTGACAACCGGGCAAATCCGAGTCCCTCGATCGACGAGCACTACCGATTTGACGACAAACACGACAAAAGACAAGGTGAACAACGGTTGATTTAAGATGGAAAGTAATGAGTATTTATGTTAGGTGTCCAAATGATGTTCAGGTAGAATCAAATGTTAGATTTCTTCAAACCGATCTAGGCAGACAATTATTGCAACTAGAGCACAGCTTTCCCTGAATAACTTGAAATACAAATCTGGGAACATCGAGGTTCATTTTTTAAAATGGTGGCTTATGGTTATTTGTCTTTAAAGATTAACAAAATTTCGTTTAGTATGAGGATCGGATCGAACGAATTTTGCAAGAAGAGATCATGAAAGCGATAGAAGAAAGAAGAGGGGAAAAGGTGAGATTTGGGAAATCTTGATAAACTTAGAAACAATTTGCATGGTTAAACTTTAACTCAGGAAGTTCAATGTGGCTACATCTTGTTAATCTTAAATTTAGAACGTTTTGGATTCACCCCGAGCGATCACGAAGAAGAGTCCGAGAAAAGGTTAGCAAAGGGGATACAAAGTATAAAGAATTGAAAATTGAAAGGAAACATTTTAAAAACAAATCCACTTCAAAGTTAAATCAAAATCATATGTCAATTTAAAATAGCTCTATTTTCCAAAAAGGATTTTTAGCTTCAAGCGGTGATTCCTCCGACGACGAGGACATCATTATGAAAAGACGAGTGAAAGCACAAAGTGAGCATTTTCCGAAAAATCTTATTGCCAGCTTGCGCTGGATTTGCTAAGTCTGTTAACTATTTTAAACCCTTAAAAAATTTTCTTTGTGCATTTTTTATTAATAAAAAAAATTGTTAATAAAAGGAAACACTGATAGCCCAACATTTGGAACTATCTGATCAAAAAAATGTGCGCCGCCGGGACTCGAACCCGCGACCTTACCGGGCAACTGTGCTAATCATTACACCACAACGCAAATGATCTTCCTTACTCCAGAGGGACTTAACTCCATATTAAACTTGAAATCCAAACTAAACCCCTGTTCAGAGTCTTCAAATGACACGAAAAATATCGAAGGAGATGTGTCAAGTGTTCCCGAACATGATATCGATCATTCATTGCTGGGAAAATCGATTTCCGACTCATCGGATGATGAAGAAAATGATGAGAATGTGCTTTGTTTTGCTTTTATTTTTTAAAACCTTTTCCAGGACAAAAAAACATCGAATCGTCCCAAATCAGCGAAACTCCGCGGTACCGGAATGGGCGTGAAACAGCCGAGTCAGAGCTCGCTGAAAAAGGTGAGTCTCATTTTAGTAGGGGTCAAAGTCTAATATCACAAGGCAATTACTTCCCAAGTTCACGCCATACATAACACCAGCAAAGTTTCGATATTATCAAAATATTTATTGTATTTGATTTGATAATTCATTTCCAGTTCATCGAAAATTTCCAGGCCGGCTCAGTCTCCTCAAAATCGAAAGTCGTCCGGCTAAACACCGAGGAAAAAGACGAAATATCGGTTCTCAAAAATCGAAGAAATATATTTTAAAATATATTTAGGAAAGCTCAACTGGGTCCCCGTCAGCCGACAAGAAAATGATCATGAGGTACAAAAATCTTTCATTGTCGAAAAATCTCCAAAGCCTTTTAGTAAAAGAAAGAAAACCTCGAAAATCACAAGTAAAAAGTGCACCACGAAAATCACAAAAAATAGCGGCGAAAAGAAATCACGAAAAAGTTTGCAAAAACGCAAAAATCTGGGCGAATACGAGACGCTTTTCCGGCACTTTTTGGCGCTGAGTCCCGAATGGAGAATGCCAGGTGTTAGGTAAAATGAATGGGTGGATAGGGAAAGTAATATTGCTTTTATTTCAAATTCTAAAACTAAATTTTTAACCTCAACAAGCATTAAGTCATTGAATGGTTTTTAAAACCCCAGTTTTTCGTGGTTTCATGCTTAATTTGAGTGGTTGAATGCTTCCCTCCAAAAATCCTCTTTTTTTCTCACACGCTAACCCTTTCTTCAGTTTGAACACTAACCCTTGAAACGAATTTTAAAAAAGCCATATTTGAGCTTTTTTGATATTTTCCCAATGACAGCTTTGATCATTAGTTCAATTTTGTTGAAGCTCTCTGGCTTTTTCAGTACTGCTTCTTAGGAAGTGTGAAATTAGTTTAAAGCTGCTAGATCAAAAAGTTGTGTCTAGAGTTCGACGAGAACCCGAATTCGGTGATGCTGGTGATTATGGAATTTTCGAGGATGATTGGGAAGAGATTGAGGCACAACCTGTTGGTAAGTTGCGAGGAGCATCTGGCACCATTCATCTCCCACACATGATCCGCTATCTGCCTCATTTCTAAACTTAAAAATAGATTGAAAACTGCTTTACTTAAGTTGTAAACAGACCTCTAAGCCCATATTTTGGTCAAACAATGTAAAATTCTAGAGAAAAGAATAGAAAGTTGTTTTTCACCTGATTTACCTACTATTAGCTCTTGCGAGAATATAATAAGGTGTACCGATACCGGGTATTCAGCCGAAAGAATAACCTGTTTATATGTTGAATGGAAAAAGTTAGGCATAAATAAATGTCACAAAAATGTTAGCAATGAAACTTCTCAACCTAAACGTTTTTGTGGAACGTGGAACTTTCACGTCGCTGGAAGCTGTTTAAACCATTATCACAAATTTTTGCCTTTGAACGGCTCAAAGTTGAAACCTAGACTCTCGTTCAGGCAAAGACGCTCGCCGGCGGTATATCCACGAAAAGGCCATCTTCCAGGAGTTAACCCATTTGAAACGGATGCAAATTCAATATGGAAAGGTATATTTTGAATAGTTTTATCATTATTCTTTGAATAACTTTAAGAATTACGTTAGTAATAAATTTCTGAAGCCAATCCTCTTTTTTGCAGGTACAAGAAAAAGTGCTCGTCCGTTCTCTTGTCGGGAATTTTTGTAAAATGCACGGACTGAACCCGGCCGATTTCAAGTTTTACACTTTCTACGCCTGGGAGAAATTCTTATATGGTGGGTGATCGGGGATAAATTTCCGCAAGTTTCAAGTGGTTCTAACACTTGCGAACTTTTTCGAACACCGGCTCGGCTTAGGTTTTCGTTAGCACGTTCAATTACTGTAACCCTGGCCCGTACCAGATGCTACCGTAAGGACTGCATTAGCAGTAAGTAAATAACAATCATCAGGCTGAGATTAAACCAAGTAAAAACCTCATGCTCAACTTGTAAATAAACGTAGTCGGGTACGCTTTAGAACGGTTCGGATACGCCAGCCTGTTCAGACAAAGCTCCCAAGTAATTCTAACACTCAAACCATTGTCCCACTAACCCACCCAATTCCTCTAGCATAATTTCAGCGGCGCTTTCAGACCAACTGAAGATGATCTATTTGGAGGAAAGGGAAAGATTGTCGAGTCAAGCAGGATTTCGACCAAAAGATTCGACAATGATGAACCCACAATCAAGGATGACACGCTTTGAGACAAGACTCAAACAGGCACGAGCCGTTCCATTGAAGTGGGTTCTTAACGTTTTGAGTTGAATGAAACCTTCAGTAGAGCTTTAAACGACAAATGTAATTTAATCAATAGTCAAAAATATACTAAGTCATCTAAAAAATATTATTTGGAAGCAAATGTACGCTTAACTAGACAGGTTCACTTTATGAAAAATATTGAATCTCAAGTTTAGGAATTGTCAAACGACTCAAAAATTTTTGATATGATGAGTCTTCGTATGGAAAAATCTGATCGAAAACGAAACGATAAAGCTGAAATTGTTTAAGAGACAGAAGAGCGCATTATTATAATATTATCTTTAGTTCCGATTTAGTTTAAGATTTTCTAGTTCCAACCAAGTCAATCATAAAAAAAACCTGGAAAAACTCAAGTGCCAGTAGCCGGCAGGGATTTCAAAAGTTTACGCTCAAAACCTAGCGATTTTTAGTGACAAAGTGAGGGAACTGACACGAATTTACGGTAACAGCAGCATGATCACCGGTGCGAGGTCGCCGAATAGAAAACACAGGGAATCAGCGGATGGGAGGCATTCGAAGGAGTGCAAGGTTTGCGCAGAACAATTGAATATTGGCCACAGACTTATCATCTAAGCTGGAACTTAAAGATTAAATTCATCAGCGTTTTCAATGTCTTCTTAGTATCTGTATGTAAATTTCCAGGCTGGCAATGGAAAACGCTGTGAATGCATTGGAAAGCATCTTCTCATCAAGCAAGAAAATTAGATTTTTTGGATTTTGATTGTATTTTAAAATATCTTCAATTAAATTATTTTAAAGCCTATCTTTGTGGTTAGTATTTTGGTTAGGCTAGGTCTACTTTCAAAAACTAAAACCCATTTTTTCTGAACAAAACTCTTATTTTCACATATCCCGATGGCGAGATTGCCTTTTTCGAATTAAATCGATTTTTTATATGCTTCTACAAGTCTCTCAGATTTTTACCGAAAAATTTTTTCATTTCAAAATGCATACATAGTTTGAGCAATCACACCTCGGCTCACCCTTGAGATCGAATTGAGATTTGTAAAGAAGAAAATGACAAATCAAATTTGCCTAAAAGGACAATGTCAATGGGTTCAAATTAATTCATATTTAAAAAATAAAATTTCAAATTTCATATCGCCTATCGAAGACTTGAGACGTTTGAAATAGCGGAGAGACTTCGCTGAATGAACGGCAATGGATGGAGTTCGCTCTCTTCGCCCCACCTGGAAATCGAAGTTTTTGAAAAGCTGTCATTTAGAAGTTGGATAAAGTGTTTTTTTGTCTAGAATTTTAATATTTAGCAAATCAGTTATACAAGTAGTCTACAACGAAATGCAGCTTTTGAGCTTTAGAAGCTTGTTTCAAATCGGGCCACTTCTATAGCGCTTCTTTAAGCCAATAACAAACACAAATAATAAATTCGCTAACTATGGAAAGCTTTAACTTTAAAAATCAAGGGTTTCGTAAAAAAACACAATAAAATAAATAATGCCAATCAATTCCCTGGCCCCAAAAACCCCGGGTTCAAATTGTCAACTCAATATTTTCTTTGGGAGGCCATGCTTAGGCTTGACGTTCAGTTCTTGTTTCAGGCTTCACGGCTTTTATGGCTTCTTTAAGCCAATAAATTAGAGCGAATTTTGCAAATAATTTAAACCGTAAATTAAAGCTGACCACGATTTTGTGGTGAAACGAGTGCTTTTTGACATGGCAGCCAAACCAAAATTGTGAACAGCCGTCACGCAAACGATGTATCTGAAAAGAAATGCTTTGAAAAACTCAAAGGCTTTTATTTTTGCATTTGTTTGAGATTTAATTTGAGATGAGATGAAATTCGATCCAATGAATTTCTTTATTTGGCTATTCCCACCTCGTTCCCGGACTCAAATTCGGTATGGTGAACTTCTTGGACGTGCCACATTTGAAGCGATCCCAATACCGGAATTGTGGAGCCGGTTCTTGGGAATATTGGACAATGTATTCCTGAAAACAAATTCATTTGTGAGGTGAAAAGTTCAGAATTAGTAATAAGATTTAAAGTCTCATGTTTCATGTGCTAAAGAGGGTCCCATTAATTTACTTATCCTCACCTCAGGTCCATTATTCTTGATCGGAGCTCTCCACGAGATTGTCGCCGATTCGGTGCTGATCGCCTCAACTCGTAAAAGTGTTGGAACTGTGCATGGCTCTAAAAAATCCAAAGTTTCAATTTAATTATAGTGAAATTGATAATACGGTCATCAATATAGAAGCATTCTCAAACTTGAAACATAATCCTTATAGCTATTTTCCACCAGAGCCAGGGAAAAAGTTAGATTAATTTGTCTTCTTTCCCTTCTATTTCAAACCTGTATATTCTTGACATCTTGCCGGCATACTGTGTCCATATCTTGTCGTTGTTCGAAGTGAGAACTCGTAAAGAATGAAAGATTTTAGCCCTGTCACTACATAAGTCTCCGCGTTGATGAAATCCACCATTTCCACGTTCGTTCGCCTTTGTGGGGTTCTGGACAATGGAATTTGTTTTGCAAAATGCAATTGTGTTGTAGTACTACTGTTTTTATTCATTTCGACTAACTTGGAACTTTTTAACAAGGAGTTTGGCTATGGAGTTAAAATTCCAAAATAATCGGCACCAAATCAGAATTTCTCGTGACAGCTGATCTTTGTCAGGAGGGTTTTCATAAAGTTGTAAAAACTTAATTGGATACGTCTAAAAAATCTTAGTCTTATTTTCTCACCTCGGTTTATATGTGAGTGTGTACCAATATCGTCTCCCTTCCTCCAATTTTATCGGTGACGCCCATCGTAGGGTCACCTGAACGTTTTGAGGTTTCAAACTGTTTAAAAAGTTACAATTTTAGAATACTATAGCAAGATTATTATAATGATTTTAGAACTGTAGAAAAACAGTCTACTGAATTGTTTGAAATTTTGGTTCTTTCAGTTACAAATCTTGAATGAAACCGAAGCGGTCTTTTTCACGTTTCACTTTCTCGTATATATATATTTGTCCTAAGTTTGTTTTCTTGCCCAATTTTCATTAAGAACTTTTCAATTTACCGAATCAGCCGTTGCATTGAAAGCGATGAGATCTCTTGGTGGAAGTGGTGGCTCATGCACTTGTTGAGCCTCTTTCGCCGCCATCGCCAACTTTTGAACCGCTGAAGTGAAATGTGGATTCTTTTCATTATCATTTCATTGCGATCGATCAAGCCTAATAAATCCCTTTCTTTCCAATAAGCAAACTTTCTAATCGTATATGGTTGAGTGCGGTGACCGTCTCAAACAATTTCCTCATCGCTTCCCTTTTCATCATCATGATTCGTCGTCGTTGAACGGCTTTCAACCAAGCCAATGGATCCTGAAAATATCGTATGCTTCAAATTTAAGAAACACTATTGCTAAAAATCTGAATCAATTTTGTTTTTGCGCCTAAGAGCAACGAAATCATCCATTCTCGAGCCGGATAAAGTTTAAGTTTCAAAGTGAACGGACCGTTCTAGTTGGCCACAAATCATCTAAACCTTTACAATAAATGAATTCCTTGCAACCTCTTTGTCGAGTCTTCTTCCAAAGAAATGCAATCGATCAATATAATATGCTCCAACAATATCGACACATGTTGTTGTTAAAACCAAACCGACGAGAATCAAAATGAGCACGAGAAGGGTCCACGACTCGTTTATTGGAACGAGATCTGGAAAAAATGAATTGAACAACAAAAAATTTTCAATCTTAAAGGGATGAGGTTCGTTTTGAGTTAATCGTTCTCCAAACCAGCGTTTCTCGTTCACTATTTTCTTCACTTTTCTTGTAATTTTGCAACGATCGATTAAAGTTTCTTTTAAGATCATTTGTCTTTCCTAACCTCCAAATCCAATCGTCAACACACTCATGATAATGAAATAAACCCCATCAACGAACGTCCATCCCTCGATTTGAGCAACCATCCACGAGGCAAAACCTGGAATTCACGATTCTGGAATTCAGAGTACTCCATGTCTTATTCACTAATATTTCAATAAAGATATTCAATATAAAGACTGAATATATCTATTTCAATTTTATAAAATTGATATCTGATATGCAGTTTAATTCAGCAGAATAACTTTATCTCGCAGTGGTCAATCAGAAATAAGAAGCGAATTTCAAAAGAGTCAACTTTAAAACGTTCTCTTTATTGCTAGTTCAGAGCATTTTCTGAGATAGAATAAAACACTATTTTTGCTCATTCCAAGTACTACGATAACTATATCTCAAAATAACATACCTATATAAATGATGAGAATCGCGTAAACGAGCACAAAGGGAATCTCGACGAAATGCGTCTTTTCCAAGTGGGTCCACAGAAATTCGGCTACCTGAAAGGTGTCGGCAAATGGATTTGATTACCAAGCACAAGACTTGTTAGTCTAGATTTGTGAAATTATTGTAAGCTTCGATTAGTTTGCGTTTGAGTTTGGGTTATTTACTTCTAATGATAGATGTTAGTTTTTCGGAAAGAAATTTTTCTTGTTTTAAAGGGAAAGCGGTGTTACTTTTTAAAGCATTTCTGACGAATTTGAATTACAAGCTTTAATTAATCACTAATGTTAGGCATCTTTTGTTTATTTTAAAGAGCCTCTCCTCAGCACTTTTTCCTGGTTGAACTCACCACTGGATTTTCGATGATTCCTTCTTTCTAGAAAAATTTAATACTTTTAATTGTCCAGCGGGTCCTATATGCTTAAAAATATTGAGTTCCGCTTTTCCGTAAACAAATGATTCTCTCTTTTGCCTTTCTTTTCCTTTTCCATTTCCCAACCTCTTCATCTCCACCGGCTATAATCACATTATTGATCACAATCGAATCTCTTCGCAATTTCCCTTGTCGCCAGCGGTAGAATCTAAAAATTGGGGCTCAAAACAGAATAGGCATTGATTGAGTTGTACGTTCTACGAAAGAAGAAATAGCTTGAGTGTAAAAGCAAAAACTTCCAAACCTCCTCTTGACGGCGATGAATTTCTTCATGTACTCCATGTAGGCTCGATTCATGAATTCCGTGCAAAATTTTGCCTAAAATACTATACTGAAGCGAGGGACTAATACTTTTCAAATAAAAATAGATATGATAGATAAGATAAAAAGGGAGGAAAAGATTTTCTGGACAGCATAATAGATAAACCTTTTATTTTCTACTATTCCACTTACAGCATCAGCCAGTGTGATCAGATACAACGGAATTCCGAACATCAGAAAAACAACGCAAAAAAGACGACCGAAAGTGGACGCCGGGGAATCGTTTCCTGGAAAAATTGGCTCATCGGCTGAACATTCTTATCTAGAGCTTGTTAACTGAATATTTTTAAAACAAGCTTTAAAATATCACCTTTAAATTCTTAAGCCATATTGCATTCACTTACCGTATCCAATCGATGTCAACGTTGTGGCCGAGAATAAAAGATTCCACCGGAAACGCCGAATCCATGCGTATGACTGAAAGTTTTTGAATCAGAATGTTTTTTAAATCATTTAAAATAATATAAAAAATAGTTTTAAAAGGGATATCGATTCATTAGGAATTATTGTATTCCCATCGTGGTCCTTTTGAAACCCACACAATCTCAACTCACTAACCGCATTCTTTTGAGCGAACTCTTGACTCCAGGCATCAGTAAGTAATGGAAGACGTTTGTATAGCTAAAGAGAATCAGTAGATAAATATAGCTCTTTTCAGTTTTACAGGGTGTAATTTGTGTTCAAAAGACATTCTTTCTGGCAAACTGAACTCTCTTCATTTCCCCTTGATACCAGATCCCTTTTGCCGTAAGAAAATAAAGAATTTGGTGTGCCAAAAAAGATCAAAGCACACCGATCCGATTTTTAAATTTTGATCATACCTCGTGACTTCTTTGTGCGAATATCTCGAAATCCTCATCACCCCGACCTCTCACCAAACTGGAGACGTAGTGGCGTTTTAGTCTGTAAACAGCTAATATAAAAAAGTTTTAAAGGAAATAATGCTCAAAACTTCTAAATTTTCTTAATGCGAATGCGGCATAAAACTTGCGTTACTTCGTATAAAAGAAAAGCAATTTGGAGCAAAATGTTCAGTAAAAATTAGGCCGTTCCAAAATTAACGGCTTTCCAAGTGGCAGATTCCCTTTAGCGCTTATTTCGTCCAACCGTGAGATGTTATAGTGATTAGTTACACGTCAAAGATCATTAGAGCCTCAAAATTTTAAAAGTCCACTATAAAACGAAACCTCTGCAGCGCCTCGTAATCTCCACTCGGATCTTCTTGAGTGAATTTCAGCACTGTGATCACCCATGAGCCAATCACCGCATATAAAAGTGATACGATGAGGAGAGTGACGTGTGGGAGAGCGACTCGGAGGATCTGAAAATTTCAGGGTATTCATGACGAATTTAGCAACTGCCTGTTCTAATGTTTTTCTCTTTGGCTTTTAATATCAAATCTATTCATTTAGAGTTGTATATTTAACACTCGATGATTGATATCTTGACTTAAAATAGCAATAAGCAACTTTGCAACTCGGCCATTTTTTTAGCATAACTTTCATCCTCAAAAAAGCAGAAGAGTTCCACTTTTTGTCATTCTCACGGGGTTTTCCCCTTTCCCATCTTTTCTTCCCATTTCCCCCTCCTTTTCCACTATACATTTTTGACAGATTTATCCCCGGAGAGTCCGCTCATTTTTTTAAAACAAAACGCTTTTGACCATGAAAAATGGCAAAATACGATGGAATGCCGTTGATATTGATTTTTGGAGGAAAATTTGGCAAAAATGGTACAAGATATCCAACAGATGATTGCCGGAATAATTTATCACTGGACTCAAAAATGCGTGCGGCACACTGTAAATCTAAAGAACTAATGAGCCCTGAAAAATTTGAAACTTCAAATTTTCACTGTTCACAAAGCGACAAGCTTCCGGCAAGTAAAAGTTTTCAGAAATTACCCCAAGAAGACTTTTGTTCATTGTCTGTTTGTCAAGGTTTGCTAAGTCTTTCTGTCAAAACTTACCACTTTTTTGGGGTCATTCGAATTCTCGGGTACTTCATCGGGTAATTCGCGTCTTTGTTGATAGTCTTGCAAAGCGGCGCGAGGATTTCGAACAACACGCGAGATTTTGCGCACCGCGTCCATTCTTTAACCGAGTTAGTGGGAAAAACAAACATAAAGGTTGTAGTCTCAAAAGTTTTTAAAAGAAATTGTTGTTAAATTTTAAAATAGGAAGCTGAAGCCTGAGCATTGAACAGTCTTGTTTTTCTTTATTTTAAATCAAAGTTTACCATTGCTTTTGAGGAATTGGATTTGAGGAAGATGAAGATATATAATAAAATCAAAAGTTTGACAATTTATAAGTGTGTAGCAATGTTTCAGAGTTAGTGATGTTGTTGTATTGGCCCGAAGAGTCATTAGGAAAAGGGGCTAATTTTGGAACACTGCTTATTTTAATTGAGTAAGAGATTTGGATTGAAACATTCAGCAATTTTGGCAAAAGGCTTTGCCCACTGAAAAGATCATTTTATAGTTTAGGCAAATTTTTAGAAGAAAATAAAGAGATTATGAGATTAAACAGTTATTCAAGATTTTTAAAGTATTAAAAAAAGTCGGTTTCCAAACGAACAGCTTGAAAGGGATCAAAGATAATTTTAGCAAAAATAATATCTTAAAACAAAACTAACTCAATGATGTCGTGTTTATCGAAAGATGAGCTGAAAGGGAAAGGGAAAAGTTCAAAAAAGAGAGAAACGAGCCAAAAAGATAGGGGAGATTTCTCGGCTTTATGGAGAGCCAAAATTGGACCCCCGGGATATTGATATTTGAGGGAAAAAGATGGGGGAAAGGGCAAAAAACAAAAGGAGATACTTTGCACTAGGGTTTTTTTTTGCGAATTTTGCGATCATTTGTATGGTTTGTTGGTGCAACTTTCGAAGTTTTTCCTATTTCTGTTTGAAATCTAATGTTGAAATTAAGTTGTTCAAAAAGCCTTTCCGTTCCTTTTCGCACTTCAGTTGAAAAACAACAAATTCACCAATTAACCTATGGTTTGCTCTAAATAAAAAGTGTTTATTGTTCCATTTCCTATCTTTTTAAGTCAATTTGGGTTCACTTGCAAGCAAATTCAAGAGTGCCTTTCTAATGAAACAAACCGTAGTTCAATTGGTGCATTTGTTGGTTTTAAACAAAAGTACGAAAAGGAACGAAAACACTTTCTGGACAGCCTAACAACTATACTTGTTTCTCAATTTAATCACTCCATCCCTTGCATCAAACCCACCAATTGCTTTGTGAGTGCGAATTGTCCGGTGGTGAGCTCACCGAAACGACAAAATCCGCTTTGCATGATACCGCACATCACCTGAAAGCCTTTCTTTAATCTTTTTGTTTTACTTTTTTGTGCTTATCTTGGCTGGATATCTAATTTATGGGCATATTACTTGAGTTTTCCAAAATAAACAAAGACAAACAAGTGGACTAGAGCAAACGTCTGAATTCATTCCGTTCTTTGTGCTTGTATAAACGCCCATTTTCTGGCACACTCGAACCCTCATCTTTCAGCAGCACTAAAGAAATAACGATTTGAGTGTGTCAGATAGTGTGCGTTTGTCAGAGCATAAAGCACACGCTGTTATGTCCACCTGTCCCGAAGTGAGCGTTCGATCTCTCAGTGAAGAGGTTTCTGAAATAAACGTTTCAATTTAGTTAGCCGAAAGAATACAAGTAATCAGTTGATAGATGTGGGAATCATTAACAAGTATAAGTTTAAATGTCTTAAAGCTCAGTTTAAACATGCAAAAATTTCTCGCAAACTAAAATAGAAATCGTTTTGTACCTGGATTCCGGGGCGGTTGGAGGAGCATCTTTCTCGTGTCTCTTTTCCTTTTTTTTTCTATTCTCGAACTTCTTCTTTTCAATTTTCCAATCAAATTCAATTACAAGCCCCTCTTCCCATTCGGCTCACCCCTCCAACGAGTCGGCTAAACGATTCTTTTTTCGAATACAAATATATAGGACACAATGAAACGAGGGGATTTGAAACATGAAAAGTTGAGTGGCTTTTAAAATGAAAAAGATCAAGGAACGGGGAAAGTACAGAAGATGATAGCAGTAGGTAATCATTTTTCTAAAGTATGAATTGTTCACACCAAAGGACTGGTCAGGGGATTTTATTATGGGACAAAATCCCAAAAACAAAAGCTATTAGTTTGGCTATTTTTGGCTCAATTTTGTACTACTATTTGTATTTGCTTACTGATTTATACTCTTTTTGAAACTTAAGAGTACATCCTAAAACATGAAAATGATTATAATATAGCAGGCTAAACGAATGAAAACTAACAGTTGATTGCATTAGTTTTTCTAAAATCGATGTGTATTAGAAAGTTCATTAATCAAAAGGACCAAACATAAACATTAAATATGCACTTGCAAGAAAAGATAGAACTTTGCACAGAAAAACAAACCTTTTCCGAGTCTTCCGGTTTAGAATTTTCGGGTTTGTGGAAGGTGAGTTAGTGAGGAGAAAAGAGGACAAAGAAGGAGAAAAGAGATCGAGTGAATCCATTTCAAGCTCACCTTTCTTCTTTTCTTTTATCTCTCTTTTATCTGAAGAGGTCATTTCATCCTTTCTCTTCTTTTTTTTCCTTTTCCTTTTTCCTTTTACTATCCCTTCAAGAGTCCCTCGTAGAGTTGAATCCATTTTAGACTCCCTTTCTCAAATTTCTTGTCCAAAAGACAAACCCAAACAAATCATTTGGGTTTGTAGCTTGGCTTGTTTGTTGATATTGAGGCAAAAATGATCCTAACAATACGTTGATAATAAAGATATTGCTTCAAGCTAAAGAACAACAAGATGATATAAATAAAATCAATAAGCTTCTTCCTTGTAGGTCATTTTCTTGTAAAAAAAAACTTTTATGAAATACACCTACAATTAGGAAAAAATATAAGTAAAAAGGCTACAGCTTCTACTTTTGAAAAAAGCGTGTTTTGCTTTGAACAACTAGTGGTTGATAGAAAAATTGTTAATTACCCCGAAATTGGTCTCCGAAATCCGAAAAATATGGACTTTTGACCTTTTGAATTGAAAAAACAATGTTTCACTTTAAATAGCTGTCAAATTATATAATTAATCCAATAAACCTTAGATCTTTCCTTTTTAAAAACCGCGTTTTTAGGGGATATTCAAAGCAACATGGAACTAAAAAAACGGGAAAATGGGGAAGAAGTTCAGTGATTGGATTTTCTTCTGAATGAGAGAAGATACCTCTTTTCGTTCTTTTCTTTTTTAGGGAACAGATACTTTTTGTTAGGGAAAATGCTCTTTTGGGATCTTTTTCAAGAATTGGCCCTTTTTGGTAAGATTTCTTTGTGGATCTCGTGTTTCAGAGTCTCGAATGGGGAAATCACCCTCACTTTGAGATGATTTGAAACACTGAATGGATTAGTTTTCAGTGGACTTTGAGCATTTTGTAAACACACTCCTTCTGATGCACTCGATTCTTCAGTTTTCATCAAAAAGAAAGCTATCGAAACTGGTGAATTGGTTGCGCCGGAAGGGGTATGAATTTAATGCGAGCACAAAGTCACGAAAAATATTTAGCTGTAGCAATTACATAACTGCTTTTTAAAATTCGAATACAGCTTAGCTAATCTTACAGGGTTGTTTTTAACAAAATATAAGACTGGATACTATAATGAAGTTTCAAAAGAAGCAGCCTGACGGGAATTTCCGGCAATTTAATAGAAAATTTTGCTAGTTTCCCAGAAACAAATGGGATACAAAAAGTCTTCGTAAATCTTCTGCACATGTAGTTTTCTTTTAAAAGAAACTAAAACTTTATTTAGATTAAACAATTCCCGTATTTTTGAGCCAGATCGTTTTCTCCAAAGGAAACCGGCAAAATCACTTCCGAAAGCCCATCCATCGCCTGAAATCTTTTGAAAATTTAAGAGTTCATTAGCTAAAATAAAATTCTAATTCTAATAGATGCTAAAGTTTTCTAAATCACAAATTCCACCTAAACTTGTCCTCGATTCTCTTCACGGGACTTTTCGGGAGTTTCGGATGGTTTTTCGTCGGCTGAGCCACCCCGCCACTGCCAACCATTTCCGAAACGTTCTGAAATTGTTGGGAAAGTTGAGGTTTATTGTATTCTACTGTTTTTTTTTAAATTTCACTCCATTTCCACTCACAAATTCATCTTCGCTCTCCGTTTCTTCGCAGCGAGCATTATCAGCCGAAAAAGGATCCGTCAAATCGACGGCGATTTCTAAATTTTTACTACTTAAATTGCTTAAATTTTTTTACAAATAAAAAACTTCAGCTCACATCATTCCACCCATAAAAACCTCAATTTTTACTCTTGCAGCACTTTTCAAAAGTTTTCTGTTTTGCTTCAGCTTATAAATGTTACGTCTAAACTTACGTTCCATTTTCGCCGACGCTTTCAATGGATCCATGAAAGCCGCGTGAAGATCTAAATAGAATTGCTTCATAAAGAATTATCTTCGTTACTTTACAACTTTATATCACACAAATATGTAAAGTTTCCCACCTCGTTGTGTGTCAAAAATGAAGAAATGAATATTAATGTAGACAAAAATGCACGCCGGACCGGCCGGCTTATTGGCGGCCGTTCGGAGAATTATATGACGATAGCCTAAAGATATTTAGTTGAATAAATTCAACAAAAAAATCCACAGCTTCGATAAATTATCTGTATATTTTTTGATAAAAGTATCCGGTTAAAAATCTGTGGCTTCAACTTCAACCACTCGATGTGACTTTAATGATTTTGAATGTCCTGGGCATCAAGTAAGTGGACAGACCGACGCTTTAATTGTGATTGAGATATTGTAGCGTATTGGATATTTGCTCTTTGCAGTACCTTTAATTTTGATGAACTAACCCCTCTTCAATTTATCGATCGGCAATAGTCGTTGAGCCAATTCAGTGTCATTATCAGCATCCATCAGCCGGATATGAAGAAAAGCGCATTCCGGCTTGATTATCTCAAATAATTAGTTTTACCCAAGAGTTCGCAATCCATTAGAGAGCTTGATGATCCTTTTTGGAGTCAATTTTTGAGGCATTCTCATTTCAAACCTTATCAAATCGAAACGGCATATCCAATGTTTTATCGAAATACACCGGATTCCATCCATTTCGTTTCACCGTTCGCGTGCGAAATTTGTTTCTAAAAGTTATAGTTAAGCAAATTTTGGAAATTTGATTCATTAAAAGTACTGCAACGCCCGATATTTTGTCTCACTTAAATGTCTGTATGGCTGGATTGAATATCTTTTTGAAGCAAAATATAGTGTTTTCAGCATACTGTAACGAAAAAATGCTGAAAATTCACAGATTACACAACTTTACAGAATAGAGACTTTACAGACTATACAGACTTGTAACAAATGTTACAAGTTCAAGTTCTACTAATAAGCACAGGCAGCACAAACTTATATTGGCTTGCCCCTCCCTTGATAAATTTTTTGGTGCTTCTGGATACGGGCCTGTTTGAGCTGTGCCTACTCCCATTAGCCAAAAAAAAAACAAATTTAGGTTGGTTCACAAAAAAAACTTCAGCAAAAAAAGCTGAAGTGATGAGAAAAATCTAACCTTGTCGTATCTCGAATCAAATCGTACAAATCAACAAGAACATAGGTGGACAGACATTTATTCGGATTCAACGAGGAAAGCATTTGACCCGAGAGAATCTGGAAGAGGATAAACTGACCGGATAAACTCGTGTTTTGCTCTAAGTAAACACACCATTTCTGGCGCATTAGCACACTTTCTAAGTACACAATCACTCACCGATATTTGCAACGTTTCGGGCATCACATTATGCAAACTGGTGGCCCGAGGATCGAATTTTTGCGAGAGATCGAGCAGGCAACGAGGCTTGAGAACATAACTGGAAAACTTCATAGAATGCACAACTCGGTCAAAAGTATGCATTGCTCAAAAATTCGAAAGTGACTCAAAAACTAATAACGGATTCAGATTCTCCATCTCAGAATGCCTTCGGTTACAAATTTTTAGGTCTACCGTTAACATAGATAGCTGTCGTCCGAAACAGCAGCCAAGCTGTTGGCTTTGTCATGAATGTGTTAAAAAACTTGACAAATTTTCCAAACATTCTACCCGGTCCTTCCATTATATTCAAACATTGTCTCGTGTAGCTGCATTTGTAATCCATTCGTTTGATAGTTCATCGCAGTCATTTGACAACCGACCATCCAACAAACCTAGAATTCCATTTATAACAGCTAGCTAGCAAACTTTATGATATTTAACAGTTATGAGGATTTTTTCCAAAATCTCACCACAGGATTGAAATTCGTGCTCGCGTATCGCATCCCGGACGGGTAAACGCGCGCGAGTTGGCGCACCGTGTGACGGGTGAATTGAGCGGCTGATTCGCGCTGAAAGTTTGAAATTTAAAATATTGATAACTAGATAATAAACCGGTCTTTCAATCTGCAAGCTTTGCAAAATAACAAACGTTTAGCTCTTTAAACTCTCCAAACTAACCCCCTTCATGACATATTTGTGAATGGCGTCTTCCGAGAATGAATGCATCACGAAATACCGTTTGTCGCCTAGAAATTGTATTGTGTTTATGTAAATTTTATTTTCTAGGTCTTTTTTGAACTTTTCCTCAACTCACTTTCATCAAAAATGTCAAATTTGGCGCTCGGTTTACTCTGGAGATAATTGACGAGAGCCGCCAATTCGGATGCGACTGTTTCGACTTCTTGGACAGGTTTGAGTTGCTGGAAATGCAATGAAACATGGTAATTTTAATTTAAACAAGGTTTCAATTAATTTCAGATTTGGCTCAAGTCAGGGAAGAACAAAATGGTTTTCGATTCTCCTCTTATCCCAACCTTTTTGAATTGTTCACTCGTGATTTCAAGAGAAATCTTTCGATCCAGCGGAGCCATCGCCGTTTTGTGAAGCGGGGAATTTTTATTGGCCGCCACAGCAAGTGGAGAACCGCCATTTAGCGAAAGGGGACTCGTTTCCTGAAATCCTGATACCTAAGATGATCTTGTCGATCACAACTCGAGGATTAAACTGTTCCTGTGGGTAGCTGGGTCTACCTATATTATTCCCAAACCTTATTCGATCTTTCCAATAACAGCTGAAATCTTTTCCTATCTTCTCCATCTCCATCTTCAACAAGACTTTTTATCCCTTCTCCATCGGTTTCTCCCGACAGAGAGTCCGTATCCGAGCCACCACCCATTGAGTCGGGTTTTGAGGAATCTAAATAACGATATCAGACTCAGATTATGTTTTCCTGAACGTTTTTCACTAAATCAAATCAAACTTCCCATCACACCCACCACTTATAACCGAAATTCCCGAATCTGAGGGAAGAAACTCGAGTTTTCTTCGTCTCCTTTGTGCCGGTGAGTGTAGGCCGAGACTTTGTTGGAAAAGACTTGCAACTGAAATTGGAAGAGGTTTTAAACTTTTCAGCACAGCTGTACATTAACATCAGACATGAATCTCAAAGGTCGCTAACATTGAAACTGAATATTAGACACTCATTTTGCTAAGTTTAAAGCATTAAGCTAAGTATTGGGTTGGTGAATTGAAAACTGCGGAACTTTGAACTAAAATTTATTCAATATAAAACTATAAATTCATTCCAAATAATTTCCATTATTATTGACGACTTCTGCCCATTTTACAGGCAATTTGCGGATTCCTCTTTCGTAGTAGAATTTTGGTTTGTGTGTGAGACAAGTGTGAGACTCAAAAATGGAGGACCGGAGATGTCCCAGTTTGAGCACTTTCTTCAAAAGAAACCTTTTGCTGTCAATAGAAAAGTTGTAGAGAATCAAAAATTAGGCTTATAGCCAAATTTCCAAAAAGTAGTTCCAAAAAGAGCCACTTAGTAGTTTCGCTTAAAGAGTAAGTTTTGTGAAAATTCGTAAATTTGGCATTTCTTGAAAACCAGTTTTTGAATCGTTCTGAAAATTTGGATATAAGCTTAATTTTTGGTTCTCTACAACTTTTTCATTGACACCACAATGGGTTTCTTTTGAAGAAAGTGCTCAAACTGTGACATATGACAATAGCCGGCAGTTTTCGATTCACCAACCCAATAGATTAAGTTGAAAGAAAGAAATTCATAACGTTTCCTATTTTTCCCATCAACTCACCACTTCCTTTACTCCCGACACTCCCAATTGTCATATTCTCATCAAAATGTTTCTTCACAGTCGGCTTCTTTGCTTTAATGAGAATTTTGTGTCGGAGATCCCATGGTGATGGAAGGGGAACACTTTCATCTAACTGAAATTGAAAATTGATTTTTTAAAGTTGTCCGCGTTTGAGTCTAAGGCCATAGTTTAATTTTGGAGAGTCATTGTATTTGTGCGCAAACATTTAAACACCCATCCTAGGGCAGTCAATTTCTCAGTGTCTGGAAAATGGTTAGTTGAGAGTACATAAAAAGAGTCTGTTTACATTTTTAGCGCATAAATTACAAAGCAAGGTCCCTTGCAACTTACCGGATATTCTCTCAACGGTTCGTCTAACAATTTCTCCCCGAAAATCGTCTTGAAATAGTGAGCCATTTTTCTGAACTATCTCTTTAATGACAAATCTATATTGATTGACTTAAGTGACTGATTGGAATTGAAAGTTATTAACTTTCATTTTCAACATACTATTAATGTCAAAATAACCAAACAATGTTCACCTCTGTTGTGGGACGGTGCAATGGTTCTCGATGGACAACAAAACGGGGAGTGGTGAAGTCTTGAAGGCACACTCGTCGATCGCCTCAACAACATCCTAAACAACAGCATTTAGGGTAATTTTAGCCAAAATCTTTGGTTTTAAGTAAGGTTAAAATGGAAAATCCAACCTTGAAAGAAACCGAATTGATGAAAGTGACCTCCATCGGACCGTGAGTGATTATCGGTTCCCCGTCAGCTCCATCCCAACAATCCAACTCAATACAGCGACATCCAGAGAGAAGAGTCTAAACTTGAGAATTGAATATAAAACCTGATTTTAAGTGGTTTTAAGTAGTCCAAATTGTTTTCATTAATATAGTTAGAGAATTTTATAAGAGAATTTTAGTTAGAGAATTTTATAGAGACGGTGTTTCAAAGGTTCGCACTCTTATTCACGACAAAGTAATTTTTGGCTCGGTTGTTACTTTGGACAACAGCTATCTATTAGGTTGGCAACTTAATAATGACGCGTTTATGTAACAAATCACTTATTTTAAAAAACACAAAAGAAGAGCCTTCAATTCAAAAGGTATTCTCCATTAGTATCTATGACTTCTTCCCATCTTCTGCGCAAATCCCGGATCTCATCCTCGAAGAACTTGGGAGTTTTTGAGGTGAAGTAGCCATTCACTGCTTTTATGATCCGAGCATGATCATCGAACTTTTCTCCCTTCAAAAAGTGCTTCAGCGACCGAAACAAAAAGTAATCTGAAGGAGCCAGATCAGGTGAATAAGACGCGTGGGGCAAAACTTTCCAGCCAAGTTCCACGATTTTCTTATAAGTGATCTTTGCAGTGTGAGATTTTGGGTTCTCGCGTAAAAATCTGCCTCTCTCCGGTTTGAGCCCCAATTTCTTCAAAGACTCGTTAACTCTCATTAATTGCTTCGAATAAAGATCAGCATCGACGATTTGGCCAGGTTTAGCACTTCATAATGCACCAATCCCTTGAAGTTCCACCAGCAACAGAGCATTATCTTCTTCCCATGGATATCAGGTTTGGGAGTGGTTTGAGGGGTCTGCCCAGCAGATAGCCATTGATTTTTGCGTTTAACGTTCTCGTAGTTGATCCGCGTTTCGTCAGAAGTGAAAAAAGTCGTTCGATTTACATTTTTGTAGCAAAATTGAGGCGACATTGACACGGGCCATTTTATTGCTTTGGGTCAATTCGTGAGGAACTCATTTTCCAACACGATTCTTTTTCCCAAGTGTGTAAATAGTTTTCGATTGTCGTATGGGATACTTAAAATATTCCTGCCAACTCACGAACGGTGAGTGTTGGGCAATCTTCAATTAAGGCGAGCAAGTCATCGTCGACCACTTCTGGAGGATGTCCTTGGTGTGGCTCGTCTACGAGGCTTCCATCGCCGCCTTGGAATCTTTGAAACCATCGTTGACATTGCCGAATGTGTATACTTTCCTCTCCAAAACAGTGATGATCGTGTGATAAGATTCAGCTGGAGATTTTCCTTGTTTAAAATCGTAGAACAATACAGCTCGAATACGGAATTTTTTGTCCTCCATTTTTTGCCAAAAAGCGAATGGTGAAATTTGTAGCACTAAATGCTATTTATGCAGACATCTTTTACTTTGTATATATGCAAAAAGAGGGAAGAAACGGTGCTTGAAATTACAAAAAACATGTTAAGTAGTGACGCGTCATTATTAAGTTGCCAACCTAATATGTTAGCTGTTGACCTGAAAATTTGTAACCGGAGGCATTCTGAGATTGAGAATCTGAATCCGTTATTAGTTTTTGAGTCACTTTAATTTCCAAGCCAATACGGTCATCATAAAACTCTCTAAAAACTTGGATAATTAAACCAAATTGGAGAGAAAAAGGCAAAGCCGAAGTTGGGTTTTGTCCTTTATCCCTAAAGGCTGTGTGGAATACACGATTACCTAAACATGAAATTTCCCACGTTTTTTGGCACACGGCCCTAGATGTGGGGTCGCATTTGCCTAATTAAACCAAATGAGATATCCAAAAATAGAGCAGCTTTCTTTAAAAACCAAGTACAGATTCGAATTTTTTGACCACAAAAGCCCTCTGATGCAAATTTTCAGCCCAAATGGCCTCAAAAAGCGCTAAATCCACGTACGCCGGTAGACCGCGTCGCGAATGTGTTAATGCAAAGGGCTAGAGTTAATTGTTTTGTAGCTCGCCTTTTAATGTAAATTATTTCAAACTTTGGTGGTTCGAGTAATCAATCTAATTTTAAATAACCTGTCGGTATATCTCGACGTCACTCGCCGTCACATCATGTTTTATCGTCGATATATGCTTTGCTTGCACGATTTGTGCTCCAATGAGATACGTGTTGTGACTACACGAGATATAATAATGAGAAAGGGATGAATGGAGACTCTCCTTGTCACAGAACATACTCTGAAATCGTTTATGCAATAGTTGGATTGCCAATCAGTCTCTCCGTTTCTTCAGCTACTCAGACTTGCTTTAAGTCAACGCAGCCGGTCAAGTTGGGTGAATTCTAACTTGTTATCAAAATCAATTTGACTCCAAACTAAATTTCCAACTGCTTCTCTACTTTAGCTTTTCTTTTCCAAAACCCACTTTCGCGTCCAAATCCGGGCAATAATCGCTGAGGAGAAATCGTAGAAATCCGGAAAAACACAAGGAATCACCTGGGGACCATTTTTGCACAAAACTTCCAAAATCCTTACTGCTCTTCGAATATTTCCTCATCAAATGATCGATTTGTTTGGGATTTGGCGGTGGATGAAGGACCTCGTTTAAACGGGGATCTCGCTGTTTTGAGTTGAGGAATGAGCCTGAAATGGGTCTGGTTTAAGTTGAAACTCAATTTTTCTGCTATTAGGTTGACTCACCGTTCATGCCGCTTTTTTCTGTTTTGTAAATTCCTCAGCTTGGCGATACGAAGTTATCTGTGCTTGCTATATACCATTCAAAAGCTGTGCATTTCCTCTATAATCTGGTAAGAAAAGATTTTTGATTCGCTAAATATGCAAAAGAAGTTACTGTACTAAGGGTGGTTAGGTCAATTGTTGAGTGAGCGACTTTGAATCTACTTTCCCACCGATTGAATTGAGTATCCTTCTTGAAATTTTATCAGTAGATAAAGTATTGATAAGTATAATAAAATAAAATAATTCCAGACAATAGAGCTTCGCTTATAAAAATTTAGGAGGAGGCAAAGTGAAGATTTATGAAAACACTTAAAAAATGGGTTATTTTGGAAATTTTAAACATTGTCATATAATCAACATTTTAAGCTTTAAAGCTTTAAAAATTTTAATTATGGGCGGTACTTTTGCAGCATAAAGTTTGAATAGAGCCACACGGAAAATGGGATTTTGAAAAAAGCACCCATTTTTGACATCTTTCCTTTAGACGAGCAAATTTAAAGAAATATTCAGCGAATTAAAAATCTTTTTTAACCAGATTGCAGAAGAGATTCACAGTTTTTGAAGGGTATATTGCAAGCACAGATGAATGATCGCTAAGCTGAAATATTTACAAAACTTAAAAAATCGACACTAACAGTGGGCCACAATCCTTATTGTATTTAAACAAACCGAATTTCTTCCTGCTTATGCACGGCTCGCTGTTGTCACCCTTGGTGTCAGCTCTGAAGAAAAAATTATTGAATGTAGAAATATGATTTCTAATATAGCAAGCTCTAAGCTCTGTATCTGGATCTGAAAGTAAAAGGCATGAAAGCTTTTTAAAATAAGACCCCAAAATAAAAACCGATTGTTGAACCCGTTCCTTTTACCGCCTTGCTCAAGATGAAACTCACAACTTCAAGAACACATCACTTAGCTCGGGTCTTTGATTCACGTAAACAAACATATCCATTAAGAGATCATCCGTTAATTTTTCCTGAAAGTAATATAATATTTGTTTGGATTGCACTCCTGAACCTAATAATATCAAATAGTTGAATATTTGGAAACCTTTGAAATCATCTCCTTTTTGTTGAAGAAAGGTGAATTGAGGAGGACTTTTGTGAGCTGAGAGATTGTCGCTGAACTCTCGTGGGGCATTAGGGCACGGACAAGACTGAAAACGGGAATTTTTGGATATTTGGAAATGATTTTCAAGATTTGATTCATCCAGGAGAAAACTAAAGAAAAACAAAAATGCAGACATTTTTCCATTATAAGCATTAAGATGAAACCTTGCTTTCTTCATTAAAACTAAACCTCGCCAAGGGGATGTCATTTGGAATTGGTGGATATCTAAAAAAATCTCTTTTTAAAACAGGTTTTAAGGTGTTTTTTTTATATCTACAGTATTCCTAAAGATTCTACAATTTTTAAATTATTTTTTACCCACCTCAATGGAGCCAAATGTTTGAGTAGATAGAATTCGACTCCGTGATATTCCTTTCTTCTTCTTTGTGACAAATCGAAGAGAAAATCCGCCCATTTCTTCAGGGTTTCCTGAATATTTTAAAGTTTGATTTTGTCGGATAATTAGGTAGTTTGTTGAACTAGATAATGGAGTGAAATTAGAGAAATTAGAAATGCATTGATTGCATTTTTCATTCATACAAATTTCCAAAAACGACTTACCGCACTACTTTTATGCATGAAGGTGAAATATTGTGGATGAACGAAATCCCGATTTGTTACCACGGTCATCAATTGGGAATAGAGATCGGGTTGAGAGGAAATCTGGGGAATGGGCAATGAGAGGTTTATTCATTTGGGTCAATATTTGAAACTACTTTTGTACATGATCCTAGCTCAAAACGACACACGGTTTTAACAATCCGAAAACCCTATCTTTCTCTACAAACTGACTCTGTGAGTTCTCTTTTGTTTTGGTATATTTTTAGGAATTGGGGAGTCAAAAACGGCCTGCACCCCGTAGCAGCTAAACGATTTTTTTCGTTGAACCAATTTTTGTGACAATCTACTATATATAAAAGGGAACTGTCTGTCTGCCCGTCTGTCTGCCTGTCTGTCTGTCCGTCTGTCTGCCTGTCTGTCCGTCTGTCTGTCTGTCTGTCCGTCTGTCTGTCTGCGAGTTCTCGGCTTCCCATGGGCCGATTTACATGATTTTTAGTTTGTTAGGCTTAGAATTCTATGTAGTTGTGCATCTTCATTTTTTAAAAAGCAAAAGTCACGACACAGCCGGGAGTCGAATTCGGGTCTTGTGGGCATGGGCAAGCGCGCTACTCACTGCGCCAAAGTTGAAAACGTGAAAATCGCGAAAATTTACATACGAAAATGCGAAAAAAGCGAAAGGTCTCGTATAACGAAATATGCGAGTGGGTCATCGAAAGTTGGAATGAAGTGTGTTATGAGCGGCTTTCGAAAGTCTTTGAATGAGACACCAGAAAAACCGGAAGAGGATCACAATGAAGAATCGAATTTGATGCCTTGGAGCAATTGGATTCATAGGAGATCTCGTTGACGCCTTGGAACGCTTTCAGTTTAGCGAAGACGAAGATTTTGAGGGATTTTGATATATTGTTGGTTTAATCTGTTGTTCCTTTCATTTTGTTTTGGTTGTATAAACTCGTAAATATGTTTCCTGATTAATTTCAATAGTATTTCTACCAGAAATACATAATTTTTAGAAGTTTCGTCATCATCTCATTGATAAAAAATGAGGCCCCGTGTATAAGCATATACACGGGGTTTTAGGGTAATTACTTATACTAGAAAGATAACTTATTTCAGCAGGCCTGACAGTAGTTAAACTAACATAAGTTGTCTCCGCGAATTTGCCCACTCGAACATCGACGATCGATTCGATGAACAAATGGTCCCAGCTCTAAATGACTGTTGCTAAACCGGGACACCAGAAAAGATGCGTTTACAGCTCTGAGCACAGAGTACAAACGTTCATTATACAAAACTGTGATGCTAGGTGCTTACGCTTTTCATATGAAGCGTTTGCAATTAAAACATTGTCGACTATTTTCTTGTAATAGCCTTGTTCATTTTAAAAGACTCCTTTCTTTTCTTACTCACAATTTCTTCCTCGTATCCCTTTTTTCTCCAATAGAGAATGTGTCCATTTGGATCGATGAAAAGATTTACAGAACAATCATCCCGACGATGATCACCTGATCGATGAGAAGCTTTCTGAAAACAAGAACAATTGTACAAATCAAAGCAGGTTGTGAGGTAGTGATTCTTATCGATACTTAACCTTTTGATTGGTAATGATTTGGTTTAATGATGGTTTTAATTAAGTAAACATTACTAACTTTTTCAAACCCTTATTCGCCTCATTAACATTGAAACTCATTTTCCCTTTCCCGCCTCACTTACCGATGCCCATTTAAAGAATCGTTCTCCATTCACGAAACATTCGTCGATCGGTTTGTGCATTCAATGGGCAATGGTGTTGTGATGTTTCTGGAAAAACTTTAGAATTGGAATGTTCATGAAAGAGCAAGCGAAATTGGATTTGAAATTGGCAAGAATTTCAAATAGCAAGATTGTCAATGTTGTACAAAGGGATATTATCGAAAGTCAAAACTTAACTAAACTGGCAACTAGATCCACTTATTTTCTTGCTAAACCAGCACATAGTCGAATTTTGAAAGTTTTACTTGTTTATTGCCTTGAAAAAGATACTAAGATATAAAAAGAAAAAGATATCGAAGACAAAAGTTAGCATTTTTGAATTGACAAAGTTGAAACTTGTAAAGCGAACCGAAAAACATAATCACATTTGAGTCAGAATCAGTCGGAAAATTGATCGAAAACACTCCTTTTCTTCCTCTTTTTCTCTTTTCCCTATAGAAAAGATCAAATAACGTGAATTTTCCTGCTTTCTTATCTTTTTATAGAAAAAACCAAACAAAGCGCCGCTTGAAACCCGAAATTTGAAAAGCCTATTAGATCTTTTGCTCTGCTTTGAAACATTGAAGATTATTATTGGATCCGGTTTCGAGAATGGATTAAGGATTGGAGACAGTTGCAATTCGTAGCACAATTTCTCAACAACAATTTTAATGACGTTTTGGGGTGAAACTTTAAAAACACAAAATTTTACGATTTAAAAAATCTACTTGCATTAATGATATTTTTTAAATTTTCAACAACACCTAAAAATGTTTTGTCGCAAAATTCTGCAAAAAAACTTTTATTTTGGTTTTTGAAAGATTGTCGAGAACAAACTCGGCAAATAAACGAAAAGCGGTGGAAAAGCGGCAAAATCAAATGGTTAAACAGAAAAAAAAGTTAGAGGAGGTCAGACTTTGGTAAGTATCGTCGGATTAGCAAGATCAAATTTGAACGTGTTGGAAAAAGATTAAAAATCTTAAATATGGATGCATCGTAATTACTAAATTTCAGAATAAGATAAACATTATATGAGTTGGGCACGCCGGTCGTTTTCTGGGTGGGGGCTTCGAGTACAAAATGGTAAGCGTAGCGTATGCTAAAAAGGCAAGCGGGATTCGAAACCGCTACCCCTCGCGACCGGGCGAACGCTCTTCCAATGAGCTACACCGACACGTATTCCATTGCCTCCGGGGTAGGTCTTTATGCCCTAATATGATAGCTTTAAAAGAGAGTTGCCTAAATTGCACTTTGAAATAAAGCCGCTAATTCTGAAACATTAAAATTTTTTAGCTGATCCTCCTCGTCTCAACAAATTTTCGTAGCTTTTTATAAGATTCTTTACTTTCCTAAAATAATTTATAACATAAAGTTTGATATTTATTCACTTTTCGATAATCAGATATCGTTTTTTATTTGCAATTGCTTTGCCATTACTACCTAAATTTCCCTATTCAACCCAATCAAATAATTGCAGCCTTTCCCTTTTATTTTCCCCAATTTCCCCGATTTGATATCAATTTGGGTAAACAATTCTTTCGGGGGAACATCCCTCGTAAAAATGATCTTTTCGTACAAAAAGAGAATATTGATTTCCCCGTGCACTTTTCTCTTTTTGTCAACTGTCAACAACGAAAACAACACAAACAAAGTTTTCGCTTTTCTCATTTAAAAGAAACAATTTTCTTGATGAAATTTCCCTTTAAAAGTTTACATTAATCGGGATCTCAATCTTCTAACAAAGTCAATTTTCAGTCGAAATGTCGAATTGTTCTCGTTCCCTCTCATCCGTATTTCCCCTTCACGTTCCTCCATTGAATGAGTTGGGTGAAGCGATTCGAGAAGGATTACAAGAGAACTTCAACGAAGTTAATGTTCAAATTACGCCGTGTCCAGGTTTGTTTTTGATTTGAACACAAACCGGCATAGAAATTGACATTTTCCCAAGCTTATTTACAGACCTCCGATCGGAAGAGATTGGGTTGGTTTCCCGATATTTCGGGGCCTCGATGAAACTCGCTGACATCGGTGGACCTGGGAATCTCTTCCCACAGATACACAAAGAGAAGAAATTTGATATAAAGGTAAAATCAAAAGTTGAATCTTATGCTATTTGAAATCTCCCAGGAAATTTGTGAACTGTGTGAATCGGGCACGGGATCGGCTTTTGGACCGGGCGCCGGTCCGTGGCCTGTTGTGGGCACAAATTCGGAAATGGTCGCTGATGTGGATTGTGGAAAGGATAAGGTTTGATATTTTAGAAATAATTTTGTCAAGTTAATCATATAATACATTGTTTGTTCCTTTGAATTACTTTACTCGAATTATTAGCGCTCAACCAGTCCATTTGTCTCTCACAAATTTGCAACCCATGTTTTTTTGTTAATAATCAAACTCTTCAAATTTTAGGCAATCCCAAACTTTGAGAAAATGCATAAATTCAATTGCAAAGCTATGCTTACAAAATTCTTTTCTGCTGAAATTAAATTGCAAGCGAGCGAGACTAAAGCGATAATTATTCCTGATTTGACCTTGATCAAGTTGAAATAAGTTTTTTTCAGGTCGCAACCAAAATTGCAAAGATCGTTGATTCGGAAAAGGGTTATGCAACGGAAACAATCACAAGCCCAACTTTCAGCTTGATGGCAAATCTTGCAATCACCGGTGATCCCGAGAAACAAGTTGATGTTGGTGAGTGGAGAAGCATAAATTATAGCTATTCCTTGATTTCCAGTGCACATTCATGCAAAGGTGCGAAAAGGAAAGCTTAATTTCACCGATTCGATTCGACAAGCCGTCGCGAAATGCTACGGTGAACAAGCGGTAGGAGAAGTTAAATTTATCAAATGGGTATCATTGACTGGTTTCAGCAATAATTCGCCAACAATGGCCAATACCAGCTGTCAATTTAGCGGGTTATTTCAATTCCATGTTTACTCAAGAATCTTCCCCAGGTTTCCCTTGGTGGTGTGTTCATCATTCGAAAAGGCAAAGCGAAACTCCACGTGATGCCCGATTTTCCAGCTTGCCCGTGGAATACGGAGGATGAGGTTTGGAAATTAAATCGGGGTAAATAAAATCAAAAACTAAACTAAGCACTAAGCCCTAGCTCTGTTATTGGACTATTTGGCTACGAATAAAACAAGCGATTAACGAAAACGCTATCCATTTCACGTTATTCAGTTTGAAACGAGAACTTTTTTCTAGATCACAAGAGATTGGCTGAAATACTTTGAGATGAGCGCTCCATTAGTGTGCTGTTCGGTAATGCATTCACATGACCCGGGACATCACTTGAGAATGGTTTGATGAGTTTGGTGGTTTTGAATTGTATTCATTCAGGAGCACACTCATTGCTTTTCGAAGCACGGCGATGGCGGCCATTATCACTACGATACGACACCGGAAGAGGTTTGGAAATGGGAAATATTTGAGATGTGTTTCAAAAACAATTCCAGGTTGAATACGAGGGATGGTTTGCACCAGCTGAGAAAGTCTTTCGAATCGATGAGATTTAAGCGTATAAGTGAGATTTGTAAGCGTATAAGAAAGTGTTATTTGCAGTTGTTGATGATAAATTTTCAAAGTCTATTTTTTGTGAGATCTTCGACTGAAAAATCCTTTCTCTACATTTTTCCAATCAAATTTGCACTTTCGTTTGTTGATTCGTCTCTTTGTGAATATATTTAGGGATCAATATTGTTGGATCGGGCATTTTGCGGCCAAAATTGAGGAAACGGGTTGATGGTCTCACTGTGTACAGTAAACGATCGAATATCTGAAAAAAAGGATTTCTTGGATTGTTAGCTTTTGTGTTTGAGATACTTACAATTATATGTGTAAACTAACAGCAAAATCAAACACTAGACTACTCTTTACCCCTCTATCTGGACCTTGAGCACTTTGACACCGTGATTTTTCAATAACTTAAAAACCAAATAAGCCACTTTTTACTGTAAGCACTTTTTCAAAAAGCTTTTAAACTTAAAAAAATGTCTTATAAGCTCTATTTTCCCTTACAACATACCCTCATTTCGTTGGGCGAAACGTGATGGAGAGAGATTAAATCGGAGCCGATGGAATGCATACCCTGAAAGTAAAAATGACTGTTGGCGATTGAGTTAATTGAATAGCTGACATACAATAGTCCCATTCAATTTTATACCGTGATTTGTGGATCGTAAATCCACTTATTTGTAATCCATCCACCAAAAATGTCGTTGTAGTGATAGCCGTTGAATCTGAAGATAAGATCTCATTACTTGGCATTCGCCATTTGAACGTTGGTGAGTTTAAAATTCAAAGCCACACTCACCTTTGTTGAAATTTTTCATTGCGGCTGTCTACCGGGAAAATTCCAAGATTTGCAAGGCATCTGAAACACGGGAAATTTTAGGCTAAAAATCTAAAAGGTTTGCTTGCTTACCCTTTTAGTACTGATTACTATGGAAAATCCAGTCAAGTTCCAAATTTAATGGAGTTGCTTAGTATTTGTTCAAGAATTTCGTGTATTAGTATCCAAAGGTTTTTTTTAAAAACGTTTACTTTCATAAATGCGTTTACCTTCCCAATCCCAAATCTTCAAACTCATCATCGGGACAGAGAGTCTGATTTCGATAAAGAAATGTCTCGAATCTTCTCAGTGTTTCTCTTGAGAGCACATAACCGGCACCACCAGAATTATAGCCTTTTTCCTGGAATCGGGGTTCTGTTAGTTGAAAAAAAATAGCTACGCATAAACTGCACTCTTAGAAATTATAAACAAAACTTGTGTCGGACAATTGTTGGATAGAAATAATTCCAAAGGACTTAAAATTTCTAAATTGCATGTTTCAGTCTCATCTCAAAAATTTGAATTCCAATCTTTGCAATATCGATTTCTTGCTACTCACCAATTCTGGCTTCATCCGAAAACCGGCATAAAATGGTTGATTTGGATCGACTGTGGAGAGAAAGTCCCTCAAATTCTCCACAACCACATACGTGTCATCATCTGCCTGAATATCGAATGATAAGACGGGTTTAGAAAGGGGTTGGAACTAATTTTCCTGTTCAAGAACAAGCAGTGCTTTAAACTAATGGTAAAATGGGTTTTGTAATCTTTTGCTAACCTTGAAGTACCAATCGAAATCCTTTGAAATGTGAGAATAAATATAGTGGAGAGCATAGATTGTCTTGAAAAAGAGATTCTCGTATCGATCTTCGATTCCTGAAATGGAAATGGTAAAGGGAATGATTTTTAAAAGGTCATTTGGACAGCTTGCTAAAGGAAAATTCTCACCGGCAAAAACAGTCGAATAGGGAATCGAATCTTGTCTCTTTTGATCAAAAATAATATGCGAATTGGTGAAAAAGCGACCGTGATCACACCTAGGAAGCCAGGTCTCATTGACACCTGGAACCTGAAAATGAAAGAATTGGCTTGATATAAAAAGATAAATATTTTGTAAACAGCTTTAGGCTTTTTGGCTCTTTAACAAACCCGCGCGTGGTGTTTATCTGAAGTGAGCACAAAGCAGAAAAGGCTTCCTTTTAATGGCTGATTTTTGGTGGATTCCGAGTTTTCCACCAATGAATCGATCGCATCAGAACGATTCCTAGAATGATTAGAATAGAAATAAGACTGGATTGGTTGTTGGTCAGTAGGTGTCAAATAGAAATCGCAGATAAGCTGAGTATTCTAGCATTTATAATTTTTGCTCTATCGCAAACCTTTGGCTATTCTGCACTAGCTTACTCGGTCAAGTCTCCTGTAATCACATTTGTCATTTGCAATCATAGTTTCAATTGTAAGCTACTTAATTAGGACTTGTGAACTTCTTGACTTTTAAATTCACAGGTTTTAATCTTAATTTGTCATTCTCTACCAGTAATTCATACTAATTCTTCCAGCATGGCACAATTACAAACCATTCTCTCGGCGAGAGCGCTCCTTTCGCATCCATCGATGTTTTTTGTGTAATCCTTGTTGTCATTGTGATCGATATTTCATCAAAAGAGGTCATTCGATCTCCATCATCTGATCCATAATTCACTATGGAAATCAAAGCAAATAAGGTGAGACAAACGGCCACCACAAAAGAGAAAAAGCGGAGGGATTTTTGACGGTCGTGCTGAAAAAAACGAATTCATTGATTAATCGATTTGATCATGACTGAATTGCGTGGTGTGAAAAGCCGTGAAAATTGTTGACAACCACGGAATTGATTAAGCGCGGAATTTAACTTTGACCAGGAAGGCGCATTAAAGCTGAGCCTTTCATTTCTTGTTCACACCGAAGCTCACCATTTTTTACAAATCGCCGTATCCTCCCATCAGTTAAAAAATGAATATTTTGAAAAAGGTTGAGCAAAAGGGAATAGCAAACGTTTTTTTGTAATAGAAAGTTCCAAACTTTAAATGAATAGACTTTATTTCGTAGTTGCTCAAATGATTCATTCGAATTGCGATTTCCAAAAGTTCTCCAAGGAAAAAATAGCAAGGCAAAGAAATTGTGGAAAAGAGAGATCGAAATTGATCCCGAATTCTGATGCTCAATCAACTGGAAGGGAAAGACCAGGATGGATGAGGAAAATGGAAAGAAAAAAAAGGGGGAAGGGGATGAAGAAAGAATTGAGGGGAATTTGGTAAACAGAATAGGGAACGATTTGGATAGACTCTTTGAGGGTGAAGTACGATATAGCGTCTATGGTCTAGTAGTTACTGTAAAGTGGGTTCTGTAGCCGTGCGGGTTCTCTCTTGGCTTATATGCTTTTTAAAAGGCGCCTACTTTAGAAACTACCGTACTAACACATCTAATTTTTATTTCAATTTTGGTAGCTTAACTGGACCATGTGACTCCTCGTCGAATGTGACCAAAACTGAGCTAATTGAAAGTTAGAAGATTGAGTACGGTATTAGCTAAAGTAGGTGCCTTTTAGAAACATTAGTCCAGAATACTACAGTACTACAGACTTGGGACTTTTCTTGACTCACCCGATTCGCCCATAGCAATAAACAACGATCTCGTGATTTCACCCAAAAATCTTGAGCCAATGTTTTGAGGGCCTAAATGGAAAATTGCCTAAAAATTGACCCTTTCCTACCTCTTTTCGATTGTCCTCGATATAATTCCCGACTAAACGTGTGGACATTGAAAAATCCCCACAATTTGAAGATGCTTATGAAATTTGGAGAGATCTCGATGATGATTCGATAGAAATGAATGAAAAGAGCCGGCATTTAACGCCCCTCCTTCTCCTTTCTCTTCTATTTACGGGAATAGATTTTATCGCTCCACAAAAGGCTCAGGTGTGCACCTGAAATTTGCATATTCATATAGAACAAAACAGAGCTGACAAGGGGTAATTTTTCTACAGCGTTTTGTGAAGCACTAGGAACTTGTTGCAGCAAAAAGTATTCAATTGCTTACTATTAGAAGTATTGTTAAAAGCAAGTATTCAGTTATTTTTAATATTTTCAATATTTACTCCAAAGAAAAGGGATCAAGTCTGTTTGCATTTTGATTTTGATCATGACAAAGCGGCGGTGTGTTTACTAAATTCTCTAAATCAATCAGATTTTTGTGCCTCCTCAAATTCTATTGACCAAGATTATGACACTTTTTGCGCTAGTCTCCTAAACTCGGTGGAATTGGCATGTGCTCATTCTTCTTTAAAGACCCCGCCGCACATTTTAAGAGCTAAAAGTCGTTTAGCCTGTTTTTACCGTCGCTCCTACTTTTCTCAACCCTCAGATGATCCTTTAGTTAATAAGGAACTAAATAAGCTTTCCAAATATTGTCGAAAATTTGAGGAAAATATAGAAAGAAACGCCATTAAATCCAAAAAAGGGAATTCTTTTTACACGTATATAAACTCTAAACCTAAGGACCCTAACCAAATTCCAAATTCCTTTCTTGATCCATCCAATCCTAGGGAAACACTTTTAGATCCCGGAAAAATTGTGCTTGAGTTTGGTAATTTCTTTCACAGTGTTTACAATAACCAGATACCTGATGAACCATTCCCGGCTTTTCCACCAAAGCCATTCCACCACAAGCCGATTTCCTCCTTACAGCTAGTGACATCGAAGCTGCTTTCAAAAAGTTGAGACCCAAAAATCGCCTAGTCCAGACAAAATTACTGCTTTTGTTCTAAAGAAACTACATAAAGTGCTAGTCATTCCTTTTGCCAAATTCTTCAATAAAATTTTGCTTGTCTCTGCGGTCCCAACTTACTGGAAACAATCTCTTGTGTCGCCTCTTCTCAAAAAATCGCCCAAAAATATATTCGCTAATTATTGTCCCATTTCTTTAACTTCTCCTGTGTCAAAACTTTTTGAAATTATCATAAAAGATAAAATTTTTCAACATTTTGATAAGTACAATCTTTTTCTGACCAGCAGTTTGGCTTCCTTAAAAATAAATCCACAACTTCTCAACTTATTTTAGCCTATAAGTCCTTTTTCAAAGCTTTAGATCAAAAAGAAAAATCATTTCCCAACTAGAAGCCGTCTTCTTAGATTTTGCAAAAGCTTTTGATCCTGTTCCCATTGATCTTCTAATTCACAAACTGCATGCTTACCGGCTCAGCCCACTTGTAATTTAGGTCGTCAAAAATTTTCTTTCTCAGCGGACTTTCAAAGTAATTCTAAATAATGTTCTTTCTCCCTCTTTTGATTGTCCTAGCGGGGTTCCTCAGGGTAGTATTCTTGGTCCTCTTTTGTTTTACTATCTATATTAATGACCTGCCTAACTGTCCTTTCAAATCAAAAAATTCCTCCATCTGGCTCTATGCCGATGATGTTAAGCTTACGTTCAAAATTCCCATCGGAACTCAAGCAGCTTCGCTTGCGGCTGTAAAAGATGCAAACCATGACTTAGAACTTATAATTTGGGGCCAAAACGTGGAAGCTTTCCCTATCCCCTTCAAAATCTCAACATTTTTCCACTGGTAAATTTAGTTTCTCTTTGGTAATTAACAATATTCCTATCAATTACATTAGTAAATTAGATTTTGTTAGAGATTTAGGTGTCCACATCTCTCCCCCTTTTAATTTCACTAAACATATTGAAATCATTTGTCGAAAAGCTTCTTTTGTTTCTAGCCGTATTCTCAGATCAATTGTTCATCCTAACCTAAACTCTTACCGCAAATGCTTGACGACTTATATCCGGCCCATCTTAGAATATGCTTCTATTGTTTGGTCTCCCCGCGCACAAGTCTTTATTGAACGCTTGGAGAAAATTCAGAGGAGGTTCACAAAGTCGCTTTATGGAAAATTGACTATTCTAAACATTCTAGCTTAACTTATGAGGAGAGACTTGCTTTTTTTGAACTAAAAACTTTACAGCATCGTCGCTTTGTCATTGATTTAGTCGAAACTTTCAAAATCCTCCGTTGTAAACAGATTAGCCCTTTGTTTAAAGACTTTTTCAAATTTAAACCGCGGTCAGGGTCCAGAAGTGGCTCATTCCTTTTGCAAATTCCCTTTGCTTCCAATGCCTCTTTATCAAATTCATTTCCCGTTAGAGCCGCTAGATTATGGAACTTGCTCCCAAACGACATACGAGAAATTCAGTCGCTTTTCATATTCAAGAAACGTATCGATGCTTTAGATCTAGTCACTCTTTGCTGTAAGTAATTGGCTTATTGATTTCAGTATGTATTGTATGATTAAGTATCACTGTGCATTTCTCTATGATTTCTTTCACTTTATCGCTTGAATAAAGTATTATTATTAATTTAGCTTCAAAATGACTCAAGCAGCTAACGTCTGGCAATGGCCCCTTCAAGGAAAAGAGGGAGCTGTCAAGGTGGGCGAAATGGATTGAAATTCAAACATGAAACAATTCCAGGTTATTGAGGATAGAAGACATTTCGAGGTCGGACTTGATGCCACCTACTTCAAGGATGAGGATATCACTGTAAGTTAATAGTTTTAACAAGATATCATTGTACTGTAATACACGGGAATTTATAAGAATGGATTTTCAGGTGAAAGTGATCGACAATCAGATGGAGATCATGCTTGAGCATGAGCAGAGGACTAGCCGCTTTGGAGTCGTTAAGAGAACTATCAACAGGTAAATGAACTTAAAAACTTAAGAGCTAGGATCAGCTTTACAGATCTTGGACCTGTAACTAGTTCCAGATCCAAAAAGGTAAACAATCAGCTATCATAAGCTTCAACTGTATTCTTTGACTTGACTACCGTAGTCTCTCTAGATACGGCTACAGTACTCAAGATACAAATGCTTCTGTGGCTTTATTGATACAAAACTTACTACTTTCTACCTCATAAGAACTATCTAATATCTCCAATTTCAGATGCTACCGTCTGCCAGAGGGTGTTGATCCACGAACCGTTCGCCACCATCTCTACAATAATGTCCTTTACATCCGTGGAGACAAACGGTGGTATTAAACCGGGAATTCGCTCTGTTTTTCGACTTTATTTATACATTTGAATAAATGATTCAACAATTTGAATGTTTAACTGTAAATGCAGAACACAGTATACAGGGATTCCACCCATCAACACTCGATAAAGTAAGGCTCTTCAAACAGACTTCTATCTTCAAAGTCTTCAAACAGACTTCTGTAATATCTTCTCTTGAATTACGTAGTTCTTACATAATTTTCCTCAAGAAAAATGCCAAAAAAATGATTTGAGCTCGACTTTATATAGAAAAATTGTGAAGTTATTCAGTCATTCCAGTCAATCAGCTGAATAGATTTTAATGAAAACAAAAAGGGTAAAAGGTCTCGTTTAGAAAAGGGCGCTTTTTAGAAAACATGATTTGAACGATTTTATTTGAATCACGATTTGATTTGAGAGGAGCACACTCTAATCTTGAGCACCCACAATAGCTGCAGTAGTTCTAAGATAGCGTATAAATATACAGGGAGATGCCTACAGCTATCTATTATACGGGCACTTACAAGCTTTGGTAGATTTGAGGAAGGTAAAAAAATATAAACGGTTGAGAGAAAATAACGCAAGTCAGTGTTTTCTAAAGTGCGCGCTTTGAAATTTTGTCAAAGTGGAAATGATTAATTGAATATCCGTTTATAGCCATATTTAAAGAAAAAAACCGCAAAAATTCATCGTTGCTTTCTCGCTTTTGTGCGCGCATGATGTGCTTAGTAGTTTTTTAAAATTAAAGTTCCGTGTTATCTCTTTGCTGAACACCAGCTCGCGAGCTCGAATTTACTGGTTTCCTAGTTGTACGTTAAATCCCTGTAGGCAAGACAATTACTGATTTTCCCGTTCTTCGAACAATTAGCAATGCTATTTTATCTCTCTTCACCTGCTCTTCTCGATATTTTGTTTCTGCAATTGAATTAAGCTTTTTTGTAAAGTATAATTTATTTATATTTAGCAATCTATGGCCGACGAATCAATATTGGAAGTGGGTATCGAGGATCTTGGGGACACGACAAACACCCTAGAAACGATCACTCGATTAGAGGAAGACCGGAATCAACTTAAACATGTGAGAGTTTTTTAAATTTAAACGTTTTAAAATTGAAATTCTGCGGAGACATCGAGGACTTGTAACGTTTTAGAATAGCCAAATTAAGTGTCATTTCTCCGTATCTTGAGAAGAAATCATGTTGTTTAGGAAAACAAAGCTCTTAAAGAGCGAAACAAGCATTTGAGCGAATGTCTAGAAGAAAGCGAGAACAAGTTGGACAAGGCCACGAAGGCTTTCGAAGCCGAATACGAACGGCTGAGGGAGAGCGACCGCCTCCGACTTGATGTAACTTGGCAATTCATTTCTTTTCGATTAACCTAATTTAGAATCGCAAAAAAGAAGAAGAAATTCAGCGTCTCTCCGAGAACTTGCAAAAGCTACAACACTCGAACGACGAACTCAAAAAGAAAAACCGGGTGAGTTTCTAGAATTAATGCTTTTAACAAATTTCTAAATTTTAGACCCATGAAATGCGTGAAATGGAGACAGCCAGTTCGCCTGCAGAGTTCGGATCTATAAGAGGACATGAAGTCAGTAAATAACTTTCAGTTCAGCACCTTACTTTCATTTTAGGGTTGTTGTCTACGAGTAGAAGAACTGGAGGAACAACTTGATAGCGTAGACGAGCAACTCACTAGATACCGAACGGAAGCCGAAGAATATAAAGTGCAATTTGAAAACACATCGGTGCTCTTCAATGAATCAAGGAAGAAGATTAAAGTAAGTTTCTAACTGATTTCGTTTGGCTTTATTTTTTTGAGGATTTGGAGCAAGAAAAGGAAGAACTAGAAACTCGATCGCAGACAGTTTATCCGGAGTCGTTATACAGTGAAGTAACTTTGGTTTTTATAATCTCAACACAAAATTTTTAGATGTCTCTTAGTGGCAGTATTCATGCATCGCCGACGCGCTCTCCGGTACAAACTTCACCAACATTACCCACTGGCATGGGAGCACTCGAACTCGATGAACATGTGCAACAAATATCACTTTCGGTGGGTGTTTGGGATAAATTTATGACTTTATGGTTTTAGGCAGAGCTTGAAGATGCCGAGGGCCCAGATGTGTCAGTGCTTTCTGTTTTGCCGCCTGAATCTCATCCGCTAAGTCGGGCAACATTCAATCATCGCTCGAAGTACCTGTGTTGTTTTATACTCTGATAGTTTTTAATGTCAGTTTAGCACTCTAAAAATTAAATCAACCTTTTTAGAGGTCGAATTGCAATTCAAATCCTGGTCATTGTGATGCTGCTTCTTTTCGTCCTTTACTGCTTGCATCTTCATCCATTGCAAATGATCATCGATGCTACAAATATGAATGAACTTTATGATCGTACTCAATATATTTAATGTACTTTAGAAGTATTTTCTGGTATTTGCGAATCATTTGATCGGTTGTTCTTTGAAACTCACGTTTATTTTTTTTGTTTAAGGAAGCTTTGGGTCTTATGATCTCCGTTTTGATGTTATCGCCAAATGTATAAATATTTGTATTGGAAACTTCAGCTGGAGGGTAGCAGTAAACCCACGACTCTGTAATCGTTTACACCAGTGTGCTAAATTTACTTACAAGAGAATGTCAGCCGGGTGTGGTGGCCAAATGACATATGCCATAGGTTATCCGGCGCATGTCGGCGCACGCCATAGGTGATGTCTCTCCATTGCCAGCAGCTGAGTGGATTCGATGGATTAAGTAACATAAATGATTTGGAACTTATTTTATTTCCCTATTTAGGGATCAACAATCAATTGATGATACCCTTGAAGCGATGACAGCGATTTTCGAAAAGTCTTTCCAAGATTTCCAATACGCGGACGTTTGGCTTGAATATGTTCAATGGGCGTGCGGTCATGGGCCTGATTTTGCAAAGAAAGTAGGGAATATTTTTTGTCAAGATGCTTAAAGTTGCGGTTTCTAGGTATTCGAGCAAGCTGTTGAAGCTATTGGTCTTCGATTTGACAAGGGTGCACTTATGTGGGAGGCATATTTAGATTTGTTGGCTATCCTCTTTGAAGCGGCTTCTGGTTTGAGTTTAATTAAAAACAAAAAGGCAAATATTGATTTAGATGAGCATCGGGATAAAGAGTTTAAACTTATCTGCACTTTGTATAAGCGGGCCCTTTCGGTGCCAAATTGGAACGTTTGTCAGCTGCATGAGCGTTGGATTGAATTTGGTTTGTGTTAAACGACAAATTTACTTATTTTTAACTTTAGCTGACAAGTACGATGTTGATGAAATAATCATCAAAAAAGAGGTTGAGCAAGAGCACAACAAAACGGCTAAAAAGGTATAGTCTGACATTGACTAATTAATAAAAAACAGTTCAATTTAGTTGGGAGAATTTAAAACCTGGGAGAAAAAGCTAGAGGAATCAGAGTTTTCCATTGACGTATTTTCGCAGTATCTCGAATTTGAGAAAGGTAATACCACGAATGATGTTCACATTTATTTTTGCGTTTAGAGTCATTCTTTGAACGGATCGTGGAGAAACATCCCGATTGCGAAAATCTTTGGTACAATTATGGACAGTGGGTCGAGGATACGCTAAAAAGAGCGGCTGTAAGTGCGGCGCTCTTGATCAAATTTGATCAGCTTTTAGGATATACGATGTGTCTACGAGAGGGCTGTGCGTAATTGCTACTATTCATGTGGTCTTTGGCAAAAGACTCTTTTGGCGATTGAGAACGCAAATGGAGCAACTGAAGAAATTGGCAGACTATGGTTGAAGGCCAAAGAGTGCATATCTTCGCGTAAGTTTTAAAAGGATTTTCTCACAATCCACTTATTTTTAAGCTGATGATGGTCGAGCTCTTTACACAACTTATGTCTATCTACTTCGGCGACGAGTGATTGCAATCAAGACTATTCACTGGCTGGGGAAATCTATGCCGAGGGTCAAAAAGTAATATAAACTTTTATTTTAATTAAAAAAGATTTGATTTTTAGGTATTGCAAGAAGCTTGGGGCCATAATTGGGATCCTCAGTTCACCTTCAGGAAGAATTACACTTGGTTTGCTTTCACTCGACTGAAGGATTATAAATTGGTATTGTTATAAGTGATTTACTGAATTTTAACACTCTTTTTAGGGCCATCGTTTTTGGGAAGACATTCTCGCTTCTGGGGGTGGTCGTTTTGCTGATAAATGGTTGGCGGCGATTCGAGATGAGAGGCAATTTGGTAACGATTTGACCACGGCCAGAAAGATGTTTTATCGAGTAAGTTCTCATTTGATGCCGACGATAAGTTATGTCTTTTAGGCTTTGAACTCGGTCTCGGATCACCCGCATCAAATCTTCGAAGCGATAATCCAATTTGAACGAGAAGTGGGCACTTTGGAACAGTTGCAGACGGCGCTGGACAAGGTTGGATAATCTGATACATTATTGGTTCAGCAATCGTGTTTTTAGGTTAATACTCAAGTTCTGCAAAGAGCAAGCCGACCACAAAAGAAGGAACGAGAGGATAACAAAACTCAGAAGCATAATTCAAATCGACCAAATACGTAAGGGATAAAATATTCATTAATCAAAGCTATTAGGTTGAACAGAGAGTCCCTGGAAGTTTTTCGAACAGTAATTTCACAAAAACTATTCCGTGAATTTTTTTACTGAACTTTACTAAATTTCAAAAAGTTATTACCAGAAAATCAGCATGTACTTCAAGTAAGACACCAGTTTCTTGATCTGAAGTGATTCAGTCCGACTTCAAGCAACCTTTTAGTAGCTTAAATGTCATGGAATTAATTTCATTCCGAAAAAAGATTATGACTACTTATACCTTATTCAAATTTTCAATGGAGCGGAATTTTGAGCAAGGCTTTAATTTTCTAGAATGGTTGCTTCTTGTGAACACTTAGTGTTTGAGTGGGGGCTCCAAATTTTCTTTCGATACACAGCAGCTTTAACAAAAACTTTCAGCTAAAAATAAAGATTATAGACTGCAATTATTAACAAAGTTGGTTTTGTCCCATTTGGGATCGTTTTAGTTAAACAAATTGAGCTTAATGGTATTAACCCCTTTTGCCTTATTTTGAATAGAATTTGAATAATTTTGAATTTGCATTTTATGGCAATAAATTTGCATTTAACTCTTAAATAAATAATAAAGTACAAAATTTTAACATCATTTATTCTTGGCATATCTACTCATGCCGTTTCGTCGTTCGCCTGCTTACCATCCTTCCGTTTCGCTCGATTTCCGTGATGATGACCTTTTTTTATTTGCTCCTCCTGCAAATCCATTTTCGCGCTATGCGTTAATCGGATCGCTCGATTGTCGTATTGAAAATCTTGAACAGGAGCCAGGCGAGATTCGAGTGAGAAATTTATTTTAATTTTTTAGGTCTTTATTCCTTTAGGTGACTTTTTATTCAGGAGACTTAATTCATATTTTAAGGTCTGCTCGTTGCCATTCTCCGACGACTATTTTTGGTGCTTTCTTGATCCGACCAATGGCGAGCTCGAAACCTTGAGGATTCCGGCTGCAGCGAGTCGAAATGTGCAACTTATTTGCAAGACAGGTAGGATTTAACTAAAAATATAAATAATGTTTTTTTAGTGGTTGTGCCTCAGCGCTTGATTGGAACTAACCTCACGGCTCTACTGGTCGCTTCTCCGATTCCTCGTTCCACTGCTCTTTCCCGAGTTTGTTTTTTTGTTATATCAATAGGCAATATTTTTTTAGTTGCGTCCAGGCAAATACGAAGTGACCTTCCAGTTCTAAGTCAATTTTTGAAGCGCCCAAATTACCAAAAAGTCGAAAATTTTTTATGGCCCAAAATAAATTTTCATAGATGTATTTCTCTTATGTTTCTCTTCTCCTTGTGTCCATCTCAACAGTTCCATATCCCATATTTAATTTGCTCATTCCTCGATATCGTAGATCAATTTTTACCACACCCGGGTTAAGAACCTGAAAGATTCACTATTTTTAAATACAATAAAAACCATTACCTCTTCAATGGCACTCTCCGGACATTTGAAGTCAAGATTGCTGACAAAGATCACCCATTTCTTGCCATCACTCGATGGTCCGGCACTCGAATGAATTGGTGGAGTGGGAGATGGAGAGAGAGAATAAATTAAAAGAAATACATATAACAATTAACGAATAACACATAAAAAAACAAGAACTTTTTGTCTTATGATCTCCGTTTTGATGTATTTTTATTAGGAAATTCAGCTGAAGGGTACCGGTAAACTCTTGATTTTATAATATTGGAAATCATTTGCGCAATTGTGTTAAATTCTATTTACGAGGGGATGCCAATTGGGTGCGGTGGCCAAATGATATGTGCCAATCAACCTTTTTTTGCTTTTTTGGGTTTGAAAAGTTGAGTGTTCCCCATTTCAAACACAAGTTTGTTTGGCAAATATTAACAAGTTTATTCGATACTCTAAATGGTGCTTGTTTCAAATTTAATAGTTGTTCGACGAGGAAACAAATTGTGGGTATTTAGCTTATATCTGTTGTCCCTTTCGTAGCTATAGTGAAATAATTCTGCGTCGAATAACCTATGGCAAGTTTGTTTGGCAAAAACTGGAAAATTTATTCGATACTCCAAAAGTCCTTGATTCAAATTTAATGGTTGTCCTGCAAGGAGACAAATTGTTCGTTTTTGGCTGCTATCTGTTGTCTCTTTCGTACTATAGTCAAATAATTCTTCGTCGAATAACCTATGGCACATGTCATTTGGGCACCGCACCCGGTTGACATTCCCTTGTTAGCAACTATTCACGGTTGCTTTCAAAAAGCGTGCTCTCCGAGTTTCATACCGTAGTTTTATATTCTGCTCATTTCGAGTAACAGATTTTTTAAAAACTAACGTAACTCGAAAACATTTTTGGTGTTGTTGGATATCTAGTTTCCATTATTTTGCGAAATTATTATTATATTTTTAGCGAAATGGACGGCCTTGAGGATTTGATGAATGAGATGAAAAGGAAACGTAAAGCGATCGAAAGTTTCGAAATAAAGGTAATTTCTGAAATGAAATATTTAAATGAAATAATTTAATTGAGGCTACTTTTTGTTATTTACTACTAGAAATTGCTTTATTTAGGATGGCAGTACGAAATATATTCGACGAGGCGATATTGTCGCGCAGAAAGAGCAAGAATATTTGGAAAATCAAAAGAAAAAGTATGCCGAGCAAAAACCTGAGACGGTAAATATTTTGCAACTGTTTTGAGTCGATAACTTTAACTCGTAAAATCAAATCGTTTAGAGCGCTTTGCAAACTTTGACGTCTAGGGATCACTCAGAACACGAAAAAATAGCTGTGGGCGATGATATTACCGAAAAACTTCCATTTACAGAGGTGATTTTTTTAAAATTCAACTATTTTATATTTTGAGGTGATTTCCCGTCTACGAAGGAGAAATCAACCAATCTTGTTGTTCGGAGAAAGCGTCAAAGAAGTTCGAGCGCGGCTTCTTCAGTTGGAGGCAAATAAAATGTTTTGGATAAAATTTTACTCGGTTGTTTAGATTGAACAGCCAGATTTAAATGAAGGATGGAGCAATGATTTAGTAGCAGCTAGAAAAGCAGTGGATAATGATTTGATGAAGGTGAGGAAAAAGAAATATTCAAAACAACTAACAAGGGAAGGTCATGAGGGTGATGTGGAGATGGAGAATGAGACCTAGGCCATCGGATGCAGGCAGAATTTTTCGCTGATTTCGATGCTGTATTTGGTTCTTGCAAAATGACGCGCAGAATCTGGCAAAAACTTATTTGGCATATACACTTAAGGGCTTCCGTGAGGTAGCGAGAGCGAATCTATTTCTGGTAGGTTCAAATCCTTTCACTGTTTTCTTTTGTTTTTTTGAAAACCTATTTTAGATCAACCTAAGCAACCTCCCTTAAGTGTAGATGCCAAATACGTTTTTGCCAGATTCCTCGCGACTGCACGTCATTTTGCAAAAACCAAATACAGCATCGGAATCAGCGAAAAATTTCTGCATCCGAGGGCCTAGGTCTCATTTTCCATCTGCACATCACCCTCATGACCTTCCCTTGTAAGCTTTAAATCTACTTTAGGAAGTCATCGAAGGGCCAAAACCCGAGAAAAAGAACTTGAATAGTGATGTTTTACTACCGACATTTGAAGAAGACTGGGAGAAAATTCATCGCGACGCAGAGGATTTGGGAAAAGGCAAGTCTTTAATAGTTTAACAATTGATTTATTTGTGTTTAAGGGGATGATATGCCACGGGATTGTCGTGTAATCTCATCGTTCTTCAAGTATATTCTTTCACGTTGGGGAGATGCTTTAAACAATCGAAATGATGTGAGAAAGCGTTATTTTTCAAATTCCAATCAAAATTTTTAGGAACTAAAGAAAAGTAATCATGGACGACAGGATGCTACAGATCATCAACTAGCAGTACACTTATTTACTTTTTTAACAATCTTTTTTTACTTTAGTTGGATCACATGAGACCATTAATCAAGCTGCTCGATAAAGAAAAAATCAACAACGATATCCGGCACCACTTGGCTAATATTTGCAGGTTTGTAAATGTTTAAAAAATATATGTACCTTAAATTTTAGATTGCTTATAATCGACCGAGACTATATCCAAGCAAGTAATGCGTACATGGAGATGGCGATAGGAAATGCGCCATGGCCTGTTGGAGTTACACGATCAGGTAACTATAAAAAGGGCCAGGAGCTATATTTATGTTTGTATTTAGGTATCCATCAACGTCCCGGCTCTGCAAAGGCTTACGTGTCGAATATTGCGCACGTGTTAAACGACGAGACACAGAGAAAATATATCCAGGTTTTTTTTCGTTTTTGTTAGTTTGCTAATGTTTTTAGTCTGTGAAACGTATTATCACTCGATGTCAAGAATATTTCCCGACAGATCCCAGCAAGTGTGTCGAGTATGTCCGACCAAATGAATGATCGTCTATTTTTATGTTTTGGTTCTCCAAATAAATATTTTTTATCGAGATTTCGCTTTTTTCATGTTTCTAAACATAGTATTGTTCCTTACCCCTTAAATTGTTGAAAATATTGAGTTTCCTGAAATTTACCTTGTTTTTCCAGGTAGAATGAGTTCCGATGAAGTTGATTCGGATTCTGATGTTGAGATGAAGAAAGAAGAGGAACAGGATGATGATAATGGCACGATGGACATAGAGGATTTGGAAGAACAAATTGAGGCCACTAGGAAACAGGTAAAGAAACGGCAAACGTGGAGCGCATTTAGCTGTTTACTCGTTTTAGAGTTATTAAAGTATTTGTACCAGAAATGAATTTTTAAATCTAAGCTTTAGTTGGCAGCTGACCCATATGATGTTTCAAGTCACGAAAAACTGTGTGCCCTTTTGCGAAAGAACGGAGATTTGGATGAATTGACCGAGGCGCGGAATGCGTGGAATGATGTCTCTCCATTGCCAGCAGCTGAGTGGATTCGATGGATTAAGTAACATAAATGATTTGGAACTTATTTTATTTCCCTATTTAGGGATCAACAATCAATTGATGATACCCTTGAAGCGATGACAGCGATTTTCGAAAAGTCTTTCCAAGATTTCCAATACGCGGACGTTTGGCTTGAATATGTTCAATGGGCGTGCGGTCATGGGCCTGATTTTGCAAAGAAAGTAGGGAATATTTTTTGTCAAGATGCTTAAAGTTGCGGTTTCTAGGTATTCGAGCAAGCTGTTGAAGCTATTGGTCTTCGATTTGACAAGGGTGCACTTATGTGGGAGGCATATTTAGATTTGTTGGCTATCCTCTTTGAAGCGGCTTCTGGTTTGAGTTTAATTAAAAACAAAAAGGCAAATATTGATTTAGATGAGCATCGGGATAAAGAGTTTAAACTTATCTGCACTTTGTATAAGCGGGCCCTTTCGGTGCCAAATTGGAACGTTTGTCAGCTGCATGAGCGTTGGATTGAATTTGGTTTGTGTTAAACGACAAATTTACTTATTTTTAACTTTAGCTGACAAGTACGATGTTGATGAAACAATCAAAAAAAGAGGTTGAGCAAGAGCACAACAAAACGGCTAAAAAGGTATAGTCTGACATTGACTAATTAATAAAAAACAGTTCAATTTAGTTGGGAGAATTTAAAACCTGGGAGAAAAAGCTAGAGGAATCAGAGTTTTCCATTGACGTATTTTCGCAGTATCTCGAATTTGAGAAAGGTAATACCACGAATGATGTTCACATTTATTTTTGCGTTTAGATAGGGGCGACATTTCTCGCATCAAGTCATTCTTTGAACGGATCGTGGAGAAACATCCCGATTGCGAAAATCTTTGGTACAATTATGGACAGTGGGTCGAGGATACGCTAAAAAGAGCGGCTGTAAGTGCGGCGCTCTTGATCAAATTTGATCAGCTTTTAGGATATACGATGTGTCTACGAGAGGGCTGTGCGTAATTGCTACTATTCATGTGGTCTTTGGCAAAAGACTCTTTTGGCGATTGAGAACGCAAATGGAGCAACTGAAGAAATTGGCAGACTATGGTTGAAGGCCAAAGAGTATCTTCGCGTAAGTTTTAAAGGGATTTTCTCACAATCCACTTATTTTTAAGCTGATGATGGTCGAGCTCTTTACACAACTTATGTCTATCTACTTCGGCGACGAGGTGATTGCAATCAAGACTATTCACTGGCTGGGGAAATCTATGCCGAGGGTCAAAAAGTAATATAAACTTTTATTTTAATTAAAAAGATTTGATTTTTAGGTATTGCAAGAAGCTTGGGGCCATAATTGGGATCCTCAGTTCACCTTCAGGAAGAATTACACTTGGTTTGCTTTCACTCGACTGAAGGATTATAAATTGGTATTGTTATAAGTGATTTACTGAATTTTAACACTCTTTTTAGGGCCATCGTTTTTGGGAAGACATTCTCGCTTCTGGGGGTGGTCGTTTTGCTGATAAATGGTTGGCGGCGATTCGAGATGAGAGGCAATTTGGTAACGATTTGACCACGGCCAGAAAGATGTTTTATCGAGTAAGTTCTCATTTGATGCCGACGATAAGTTATGTCTTTTAGGCTTTGAACTCGGTCTCGGATCACCCGCATCAAATCTTCGAAGCGATAATCCAATTTGAACGAGAAGTGGGCACTTTGGAACAGTTGCAGACGGCGCTGGACAAGGTTGGATAATCTGATACATTATTGGTTCAGCAATCGTGTTTTTAGGTTAATACTCAAGTTCTGCAAAGAGCAAGCCGACCACAAAAGAAGGAACGAGAGGATAACAAAACTCAGAAGCATAATTCAAATCGACCAAATACGTAAGGGATAAAATATTCATTAATCAAAGCTATTAGGTTGAACAGAGAGTCCCTGGAAGTTTTTCGAACAGTAATTTCACAAAAACTATTCCGTGAATTTTTTTACTGAACTTTACTAAATTTCAAAAAGTTATTACCAGAAAATCAGCATGTACTTCAAGTAAGACACCAGATACGTGTGTGTGTTTTTTTATCTTGATCTGAAGGTGAGGTTCGAGTCCCACTTCAAGGCACCCTTTTAGTGGCTTAAATGTCGGTTGAGACTGAATGCAAACTGAAGTTTGGCCCCACTTTTTAAAGTGACAAACACTACCGATTCATCGTCGATAAATTCCGGTTAACCACCAAAAAAGCAATTTTTCCCAACTGAGCTTAGGTTAGGATCCGTCTGTCATGACGTTTTTGGAAACAGGTTACGGGTAAATTTGATCGGTATTCTCGCAATAAAAGATCTTGATGAGTTTCAGTTTCTGGTTTAAAAATAAAAATTAGATAGGCTGAAACAAAACGGAGTTAAAACAGTAACAGTTGTGAGAAAGTTGAACCAAACAAAAAGCGGAACAAGAGCCTGAGCCTAAGCACCATTGGAAAAAATACTCAAGATTTCATTTTAGATTGAGGCTTCTTCAGATGAAGAATACATGGAGGATGACGTTTTCTGAATAGAAGATCATACCCCAGGTTGCGGAAGAATATTTGAACCCAAAACGGTTACTTTCCGATACATTTAAAATATAGTTGTGTTTTTTCAATACATGGGCATTCTTTTCAACATTTTTCATTATTTAAAAATAGTCGCTCCCTTTTTGTGGGGTGATTTGAATATTGCGATCCGTTTTTCTCTTTTTTGTGGATCTACCAAAACGAAGCACCCGGGTATTCTTTACATCATTTCCTGTATTCAGTTGATTGTATGGGTTCTTATCACTCATTCCTTTTTTCTGTTTTGATGTGGTATTTATCATTTGTTCTTACTAGCATTTAGTAGTTTCAGGATAAAAAATTATGCTTTCTGCCAATAGGTGGTTTTATCGATCCTGTGATGATTATGTCTCTTGGGTTTATTTGGATTGTGCTTTTTCTATCAAGTTTAGTTAAAACTATTAAGTTTCTATTAATAAAATTACAAATAATCTTCTTTTGTATTCAATTTGGTTAAAACGTAGTATAGACAAATCTTTTAATAAGGTAGATAACTCAATGAGTTCTAAGCAAAGTACTGAAAAAAGAAGTTGTTTGATGTTGTGATGCTCTCCTCTGATTTGATCTTCACATTCTAAAGCTTTAATGCTTCAATAACACAAAACAACCAAAGCTGCTTTGTGGCTTAGGCTTAGGCTTAGGCTTAGGCTTAGGCTTAGGCTTAGGCTTAGGCTTAGGCTTAGGCTTAGGCTTAGGCTTAGGCTTAGGCTTAGGCTTAGGCTTAGGCTTAGGCTAGGCTTAGGCTTAGGCTTAGGCTTAGGCTTAGGCTTAGGCTTAGGCTTAGGCTTAGGCTTAGGCTTAGGCTTAGGCTTAGGCTT